CCTTCCTGGACACATTTAAAATTCTAAAAATTAACTTGTTATAAGTGGGCAAACTCGAACTTGTATTGATTCTTTCCTCCCTGCTGCAACTCTTTGACTTTAAAAGGGGTTTTTTGTTTTTTGGATGGAGGTTTGCTTTTGGTGGGGTTTTTTTGGTTGTTTTGTTTTGTCTTGATTTTTACTTTTCTTTTACTCACCCTCCATAGAAAAAGCCAGATCCATGACAATATCATGATGCCAGTGCAGTGCGGAATATGTGTATTCTTTCTTGTGGTGGAAATTCCTCCTATGTGGGGAGGAACAGAACAGTTTTTTACTCACAAAATCAAAAACAGAACAAAGGAAAAGAAATATTGAATTGAATCAAGTATATCATTCTCTCATCTAACTTCTAGACTACAGTTTCTTGAGTGCTCAGGTGATGCAGAGGGAAAGAACCACAGTAGCAGTTTTTGAGCACCCTCCTGGTCCATCTATACCACACATTTTAGATGTACTGAGCAACTCACCCCTGGAAGAAACTTGGCCAGTGTGTTGGTTTTAATCAAGTAGTTCCACTGGTGTGCTCTCCCTAGGACTCTACTTGCCCATCAAGTGTTATTTCTGCTGTTCCCACATCACTTTTTCCACATAAGTTTAGATTCGTGGAGCACAGCTTAACAAGCATATTTTTCCATTTGACAATACACTGAAGCTGTCCCCTGCAATGTCAACACTGCAGGTACATTGCTCATTCTTTGTTCATTATGACTTCTGAAAATGGCAGCACTAAGGACAAATCAGACTGCTTTGCTCAGGTTTCACTTAATTCCTTTGGTCAGAGCAGTTTATGGGGTACAGTTGAATCAAAATGCACATACCAGAGGCGAATCTTTCCATCAGCATGGCCAGTTGCAATGCAATCCTCTGTTGGGTGGCACGCTACGCAGCTGAACTGATTGTCTCCACCTTTTGTCTTCACTGCACGCAAAGAAAACCTTCAAGAGTTAAGGAAGTACCTTTAATTATATGAGTTGGGTTGGTTTTTTTGAAAACCTTCAAAAGGATCAGTCAGAGCACATAAAAAATACTTCTGATTAGCAAAATTAAACATCTCCAAGTTGTTATGGTTAGTTATATGTTAGTTATATATACTCTCAACAAAATAGTGACAGGCTTATTTTTCTCTTTATTTCGTTATTCTTTGCCTTCAATCAAGCTGAAAATTTTTTTGCTTCTTTCTCTCCTCTACTCCCCTTTCCTTCCCATGCCCTGATCCTGCCCAAACTATGTCACTTGTTTCAGTTCAGCATCAGCCTAAGTATTTTCCTGAAAAAAATACATCCCTGAGCTGCAAAGGTAAGGTACCATTGCCACTGCAGTGCTCACTGTCTGCTTCTGTGGGAAGCTTCTTATACAGTGACCACATTCCCTCCAGCATAAAACCAAATGGCTGTTGACAAACACGAAATCATGTGTGCACAAATCACTGGTGAATAAACACTTATTATATATTGGACTGAATCAATACTTGACATTTTTACTCACGTTCTTACCTGTTCAACAGTTTCCGTTTAAAGAAATAAACTTGGAGATTAACCTCTTTCACTGATGCCACATATTCACCCTGTTAAGAGTAAAACAATGTGGGATATACAGATTATGTTTTTACACATGAAAGAGAAAAAAAAAAAAAGAACCACATTTCACTACAAGTCTAGTGGTTAGAGTGTCTGACTTTCACCGCTGCGACCCGGGTTCGATTCCCGGCCCCCTGGGCAGGTGGAGCTCGTCAGCCATGGAAGGCAATCCACCTAAGAGAAGGTCACTCTAAACAAACCTACATCCTGGGGACCTCACTGCCACTGTCCAAGCTTTGCTCGGCCCCGGCAGATGAACCTCAGGGCTAAAGGGTGGGCTCAGTTCAGCGCACGCTGTGTCTCACCTAAAAATCCACTGCGCAGGCTGGAAGGGTTAATGACCTTTCCCAAATCTTCGCTCACGAAGACTGGCCATTATTACTTAACACCAGAGACAACATATGAGCTGACATTAAGTAAAGACTTTCCTGTGATAAGTGTTGATGTTTCTTTTTTCTGTTAGTATATAAAATAGTAGTAGCATAAAGTAAAGCCCAGGCCTTGCACAGATTCATTTACTTTTGGTTTTATGCTTGGCTTTATGAAGGCATAAACAGCATAGAGTTTGAGACAAAAAAACCCCAACCAACCAACACCCCACAGAAGAAAAAGCCTCAAAGGCGAATATACTTCTCTTCCAAACGCAATCTGCTTCGCTGATGCCCCCACACCATCCAGAACCACTAACAGCTCCTTGGCTTCCAGGTCTTGGCCTGCTCCTTTTGTCAGCTTCACAGAGACCAGCTGGAATGTATCTGACCAAAGAAAAAAGTCTCTTGGTTTCAAACAGTAGTACTGAAGAACGAGGACTAGACGGTGGGTATCAGTGCAACTGTAAGCAGAAACCAAGCAAAGTTGCACAATATTTGCTCTTGCTCTGAAGTAGCAGTATATTATGGTGCAGAGTAAGGCTAAACCATATTTATTTCACACAAAATCCTATTAAAAAATATCTAGGCAGGCTGTTAAATAGGACAGGTCTACTTATGTTAACACTGCTAAAAGTGGAAGGGTAATCTCAAGTACTCGTGTTCAAACTTAAGTAGTATACCCTGTACCTTCGTAAGCACTGCTTAAGATTTACTGCATCTACGAGATCACATCCATGCAGTATATGCTTCACAAGTGAAGATAAGCAATCTTTAGACAAATACATGTCATAGAATGAAAACAGAAAAAAATTATGACACGCAGGACTACAGACATCTGCCACAGGATTTAAGAAATATTTTCACAATTAGTATATTAAAGCACATTCCTGCAGCATACCATTCACTGATGTGACAGCAGCACAGACAGAGAATGACTGAGGTGACAGGGATGGTGCTAATTGTACTGTACCTCGTTCACCCTTCTTTGGAATTACAACAAACACCGAGTCCTCAGCACTGGCAAGTGTGTACAGTGCCAGAAGTTTGCATCCTACAGTGAAAGTCTGAAGAAAAAAAAGAGGAGGTCAACAATTATTGTATGCTTTTAAACAGTGAATAATGCTAAGTTTTTAGAATAAGGAAAGCGTCTGTGCTTTAAAGACCCCTTCATGTATTGACTAAAATTCTTGATTCTGAGACAAATACAAACACCTTTATTCTCTCAAGGACTAACACAGATGTTAAAACAGTACTAGTAAAATATGAGACATCAGATTTACTGAAAAACCTTAAGACACCTTACCCCTAATACAAAGCAGAAGGCTCATCTATAGGGAAGTGCCTCTATTTAGCAGAAAACAGGATCAAGAGGACAGTTAGCAGCCCACAATTTCAACCCATTACATCAATTCCAACCAACATATCCCAAACTGCAGTATGTTCCCCAAGAGTTACACTGGGCTCCAAACTGCAGCAAGGAGCAAAGTCAGTATGTCAGTACATCCCACATCAACTGCCACATTCTATTACTGCCATAGGTGGTTTTCAGGCTGTGTTAATAGCAGAACAACTTTATCTCAGACTGATTTGTGCCCATTTGTAGTAACAGCAGTATTCTACAATCAGCGGGTCAAGAATAATTTCGACGGGAATAACTCAACATACTTTAATGGGAATCCCATCCATGAAGTCCCAAAGCTTAATGCTGCCATCAAGAGAGGAAGAATAAAGCTGAGGAAAAAAAATAATAAATATATAAGCCAAAGCAGTATTTCAAAGTCAGCTTTTACATAAAATCACAACTTAAAAACTGGAAGATTGATCATTGGAACTGTGATTCCAGGTAACTGGATCGTCAAAAACACAGGACACAGACCAGTTCTGTGCTACCTTCAATGAACGTGCAATGGAAGCACAACATTCTAGTTTAAAATGTACATTGCCACAAAGTGTGAGTACACAGATGCCCATTATGTGAACCTCTATTAACATTTGGATCAGACTTTTCACAGCTAATACGCAGATCAGTCCCTCTGGGTAAACAACTGCTGTTTACATACAGACACCAAAAAAGCTCAAGTAAACTGAGAGCCAGAGCATGAGCAGGGAAGGCAGGCTGGGGACAGTGAGAGCCACTAAGCAAGTTAAAGGGATTTAGTCAAATCTGCATCTGTACCAGCAGATAGAGAGGGGAAAACACCAACCACAGTAAGTGCTGTTGATCTTCTCACATGCTTTTTTTACCCCTCAATCATCAAAGAACCGGAAATTTTGCTGACGTTTCCCTTTTGCTGTCATTGCATTCAACCAGTGCAATCCACGTGACGTTTCACGTTTTCACTTGTAGATAACACATACATTTACCGTTCTTGTCAGATTTCAGGGCAACATTAGCTCAGCGATGCTCTAATCGCTCCCAGCTCGTTCCCAAACTCCAGCCAGCCCCGGGACAGCCCCCGAGGAGGCACAGGAGGGCCAGGGGCACCCCCATCTCCATCCCCATCCCCATCCCCACCCAGACCTTCCCCTCGCAAACCTGCATGTGGTTGTGTGGGTTGAGCTGGATGCCCGTGACCAGGTCGGCGTGGCCGCCCATGAGCCGCAGGGTCTCCTCGGTGGTCACGCTGTACACCTTCACGAAGTCCCCGGAGGCGCAGAGCAGGTACCTGCGGGGGCAAACGGCGTTACCGCGGGGACAGGGGCCTGGCTGCCCCGCGGGGGCCGCAGGCCGCGGGGACACCGGCGGGCAGAGCTCGGCACGGAGCTCGGGAGCCCCCCCCTCGCCCGGGTGTGGAGCTGCCGTCCCCCCCCGCCCCACGCACTTGGAGTCGGCGGAGAACACGGCCCTGGCGCCGCTCAGGGCGCCGCCCCCGCAGCGCACCACGCGGAGCCCGCGCGCCGACACCATCTTGTCCCGCCGGCACCCGCGGCCGCGCGACGCTTCTCTCTATTGGCTCCCCGTTCGCCTCGCGCCCAGGGCGGGCCGCGCGCGCGCCCCCTCGCGCCGCCTCACGGGAGCGCGGGATGGATCCATGACTTAAGCGTTCGACCGGACCGCGGTACCGACTGCCACGTCCGGTCTGTCCTTCAGCACCTCCAGGGACAGTGACCTCCCCGGGCAGCCCGTCCCAATGCCCAGTCACTCTTTCTGCGAATAAATTCTTCCTAATGTCCAACCTGAACCTCCCCGGCGCAGCCTTACGCTGTGTGCTCTCGTCCTGTCGCCTGGGAGAAGAGCCCGACCCCCCACCTGGCTACAACCTCCTTCCAGGAGAGAAACTTCCCCCGGCCGCTCTCCCCGGCCATCCCCAGGCGGAGGGACAGGTGGGCAGGCATGGGCCGGCCCGTGAGGGCGGTGCCGCCGCCACCCACCGCAGCACCCCGGTCCCGGCTGGCTCCGGGCGCCTGCGACGGAAAGTTCTGTCCTTGGGTCTGGAATTGCGCGGGGCTGAGAGGAAAAACGCGTTAACTGCCTTGTTTAAGCAGAGGAAACTGACAGGTGAGCTTTGTTTAAAACCCGGCTTGTTCGCCGACTTGGACGAGCTGTGCGTTTTTTGAGGTACTGAGCACATCGTGTTCCTGTATCTGGAGAAAAACCGCCGTCAGAAGCGATGTGGGTGTCTGGAATAAACCATGATTAGTGCTGTCTGGCCCTTCGCTGCTGCTTTGGAGTAGTAATTGCAGTTCTTGCCCAGCTGTGTATTTTTGGCTGCTGTTTACGCTGTTGAAACTATCTCTGGTATGCTTGTAATTGATTTTTGAACAGTTCCGCTTCACAATAACAGGGACAGGTGCGTTCCAGGGGGTTAGTTGTGATTATCCTGCTGTAAGCCAAGTTATGTCCCTTTTTTCACTGCTGACTGAATTCTGGTTGGGAGGTTAAGTGAGGATCCTGCAGGGAGAGTAGCACAAGCATTGGAATATTGTGGTTATAGGGTGTGAGAGAGCACAATGCACCCAGAAACTTGGCTGCTAATCTCAGGTGTTTTTTCAGTTTAACAGTGCTCACTTTTTGGAGCTGAGAGCAGAATTTACAATTTCTGCCTCATCACTGCTGTTGAGTGTAACAGCTGTGTTGTTCTCTCATTCTGGTGAATATTTTAGAACCCAAAGGCAAATGCACCCTAGTGCTCTCTCTGTGTGGGACAGTCCGAGTTTAGAGCCACAGACACCGAGTAAAACCTGAGTTCAGTCACGAAGGAAAAAGCAAGGACTCTAGGAAAAGATAGTGCCTTTAATCCATGTTATTATGTGAATGGGAAAGGGCTTCTTATCTCTTTAGTCCAGGTCTACACTAAATGTAGTCAAGTCTAGTTAAAACGCAGCAGCTTGGTGTGTTGAACTTTATCCTGGATGAAGGAGAAAGATAAATACCTTGTGCATTTTAATGCATATGTTTTTGTTATACTGGTGTAATGCACATTTAGTTTTATCATTTTAAGAGGTCTGCCATAAGTTTAGAAGCTGATAAACCATCTAGACCTCAAGAATACCCCCAGACCAGGAGGGTAAATATCAGGTCTGCTATAGTGACACAATCCAATTCACTGTAATGTTTCATATTTAGAATAGCATTTCTAATAACTTTTGGGCAGCATTACATAGAACAATTACACAGTGCATCTACAGATGAAAAAGCCCTGTGTATAATAACTACCAAGTGGTCTTTTGGTACTGAAATCACATTAATTGTAGCTGCACTACTGGGTTTTAATGCTTGAGCATGGGAAGGAAAATATGAATTAATTGTGTTACTGGAAGCAGAGAAATCTGGTGCTGAAGGTAGTGCCTGTGTTGTGGGGGAACAGTGCTCTGCACTGGTAACTGGTACTGGCAGCATATGGTTTATTTTATCTATCTATGCTCCTACCTTATGATATACATTCCTGTTCTAATCCTTTCTCTCTTTTTTTTTATTTTTCATTTATTTGAATGTCTTTCTACTATCATGTGAATAAAGAAATCTGATCTTGAAGATCTCATGTCACATTTAATGAAGGTAAATTTATGTGCAGAGCTTATTCGCAGGTCTCGCTTCGTGAAATAACTGATAGTACCTTCCCAGAATTTCTTTCAAAAAGAGCTTAAAAGACTTTTGTGTTCAAGGTTAAAATGATTGCCATAAATTTATTAGAAGTCCTCTGTGTGTATTTCAAAAAAAAAAAAAAGAAGTCTTGTTCTTGTTTTTATAATGTACTCAACCTTTTAGTTCAGTGTCATAACCTGTATTTTAAAGCGAGGAAACTGTGGTTTGGTGCAAAGATGTATAGAAACCCAAAACTTACCTGTAGCAGTTTTTGGAGGTTGAAGTAGTAGGAAATACTGAAAGTATCTGGTTTGGGGTATTTGTGTCAGGGACCTGAGTTGTGTCTGAGGCCTTGCCACAGCTGGTCTGTGGTTGTGCTCGTCGATGTGGCATGGGAAAATATTGTAGTTTCACTGTTGGAAGCAAACCTTGGAAGGAAGAGCAATAGATTAGGACAGGAACTGAACCCTGGAAAGAGAAACAAATGATTAGATTAACTGGTGAGAACTTGACTTTTGGAAGAGAAACAACAGAGCCGTTGTTGGCACGGAGTTGGTATCAGAAGCCATTGCGGTCTCGGTTCACACGCTGGCCACGCGTGAGCCGATGTTGCACCTGGGAAATGCCACTACTGTGAGGGGGTATAAGAGGTGGTTCTGGGTTGGATGGGTGAGCAGGACGAGATGCACACTGCTCTTGTCTGGGGGACACCCTGAAACGGGCATTGCCTGCCTGCTCGTCCTGCCGAGTACCATGCTCCATCTCCTTCTGCTCAGCGGCTTCTCAGGAATCCAGGGGGCAGTGTGTACTAATTGCTATCACGAGTAGTGGAATAAAATTACTTTGCTTATACCCATCGTGTCTCGGTGTTTGTGATTTTGGGAGTTCTCACGAACCTAGAACAGTATTCAAGTGAATAAGGAGCAAAACTAATCTAACTTGTTGTTTGTTTTCATTTGTTTGAAGTGGTGGCTTTGTATGATTTTCTGATTTATTAGTTTAAATTTACCCTTTCATTATATACAATTGATAGGTCTGTCTGTTCAAAGAAATTTGCTTTTGTATTTCCCAAAGTAGTGTTTTGTAATGTCTTGATTCAGTGCATTCCAGTGATGGAGGAACTAATCAATAGGAATACAATCACTTCTGAAAGAATTACTACAAGTAAGTTTCACAACCTTTTTTATGCATTGCAAATAATCAAGCAAATATTTCATGTATTGGCCAACGATTTCTTTGCATTTTGAATTCACTGTGTGACTATGTAAATAATTCCAGGTAAACTAGTTGGAGAAAATGCAGTTGTAGTTCTGCAACATTTAATATTGTAGATTAAAATATAATTACTTTTGAATATCTTATCAGTTTAGAAGGAAATCCTTCCAGGGAAAGAGGCAAGTTCTTTCTTAACAAGTGTTTCTAAACAAGTGTTACTAGAGAGGTTTATGTACTGTGTTTAGCCTTTTAATTTTTTAAGATGTTCAGACATTTGTGAAATTCCATGTAAATCACACAGTCTAAGAGTGGTCAAGGGAAAAAAACACAGTGCTGACTTCAGGGGAGCAGAATGATGGTCCCCAAGGTGGGGTGTGATACACTGCTGTACCACTGCAATTCATAAAGTCAGTAGCACAATATAGGACAAATATCTGATTTGAAATGCTAATTACATTTTACATTTGGCTTTGTTTGCAGCTGATTTCTTACTTCCTTGTACCTTATTTGTTCTCCACCTTGCTCCTTAATAGAATATCCAGGTATGTATCGTTGTCTGAAGACTGCTCAGAGAGAGCTGTGGTAACTCCCTTGCTGTCCCCTGCACAAGGCTTTGATCCACGTGGGATCCCAGCTGGGTAACATTTCAGCATGAGGGCAACATATCTGGTACATTTCAAAATCTGTTGTGTTTGCAAACTCCACTGTTGGTCTTGAATGGCTTTTTGTCATCATAAATCAAAATAATAGAAAAAATTGCTGATAGTGACAGGTCTTCCATTTTGTGTCTTTCTCAGCTAGCTTGTGGACTGCAAAGAGGTTCCTGAAATTCATGCCTTGAGGTCTTCTGTAAGGAAATTTGCAATAAGAAAGGCTGCTTGTTTTAATAACGCCATCATTTAGGAGGTGATGTGACCGACTCGAAGAGTTGGTGACTGATTTGCCTGTGTAAACTTGCTTAAAGCAGAGGCAGTGAATTCATGTTGATTTCAGTTTGAGGAATATGTTTATTTTAAGGGAAATTACATTGTTTTTCTTTCTGTGGTACACAAAAATTAGCATCTGATTTAGTGAAATTAAAATTAACATGACAGAGATGACAACTGAGTATGTGGCAGGGACACATGCTGTTGTGGGAAGCTCCTGCAGTGGGGCACATCAGTAGTTTTCAAGTTGGGAAAGCAGCTCTGCTGAGAGGGGAGGGCTGGTTTATAGTGAGATCAGGTTCCTGTTATAATGACGAGTCACAGCTCCCGGCAGCACTAGAGGGTGCTGGAGGAACGACTGCAACATTAACAACTCTGTGTTGGAAATCCAGAATCCCAGGAAAGTCGAGTTGTGGTGCCCCTTAGAGGTCTCAGCTCCAACCCAGCCTTGCCATAAACAGCACACTCGTGTTCTCCTGCTGGATCCACTGCAGTCAAAGGGAAGGCAGTCACCTGGAGGGACTCTATTGTGTGACACACTCTGGTTCCTTAGGACTGGTCAACAGGTGATGGCATCTTGTGTGTGACGCTGTGAAAGCATCAATGGGTCACCAAAAGGAAAAAATACAACGAGAATGAAACTGTAAATGCTCATCTCAGTAAGTGTTACCACCTGTAGCAGTGATCCTGACTGGAAGGCCATTGGACATCAAGGAGTTAGTGATCCAGGGTGCACTTAACTTGAGCTGGGGTGCAGCTCGACCTTTGGGCTTGTGTTGTGGTGCACAAACCCCTTGGCCACAGGATGAACTCAGCCAGCTCATTGCAACAGAGCAGCCTGCAGGCAGCTCCCACCTAATTCCAGGAGTTAAGCTACCTGCCTGGCATTAGGGAATGCAGCAGGGGGTTCTTTCCTGAACATGCCTTGTTTGATAGTGGGAATGACCAACAGAGGGCCAGAGTGTTTGTCTCTCCTGTGGTAGAATCTTCATGACCGGAAGGGGAGAATCTCTTCCATGGAGGGGGTTTGCCTGGCACGGACCAGAGGCCAGTTTGATGCTACACCCCCAGGGGTTCCTACCATCTGAAGGGATCTGAAATTATCTATACTATGCTCTCTTTAGAGTGTTAGACCTTCAAAATAGCATTTTAAATGATAAATTCTTTCTTACTGAGATCATAATGGATCAACACATTCTGGTGCAAGACATTATAATAAAAGTACTTTAGCCAATATTTTTGTTTTAAAATAAATGTAAATATTGTAATAATTTTTTCAAAGAAGTTTTGGTTTGAGGCTTTTCTAAGTTGAGGGACTAGGCATATGGTGGGAATGAGGAGAGGTAGACCTTATAAATGGAAATTTGAATCTTGATAGTGATTCTGAAGTTGGCCTTTAAAATAATTTCATCTCTTTGTATGCTTTGGTCTGTGATAAATTGTGAAACACTACGTAGTATACTTTCAGTTTCATTTTAAATAGCTAATTTTGAATGTACTCTTTTCTTTTGAAGGTTACAAGAATATTTAATATTACAGAGTTCTTGGTTTTTAAAGAGTGACTGTTAGCAAGAAAGGATACAGTTTGAGAGGAGTGGGAATAAAATGAGCCTCGATCTTATTTACCTCAAGCAGCTTCTGAATCTCCAGAGTGTCCTGTTCCATGAGGTATGTGAAGATATTTTTTTTCTTACCACTAGCAAAGGGAGACAAGCTTTGTTCAGCTGGGGAAGGTATGTACTGCAATAGTAACAAAAAGATTCTGGAATAAAAGGAGAGACTCTGAGTCTTTTAGAGACTTAGTGTCTGTACTGTAGCAGATGTTCACAGCCTTTCCTCTGATATAAATGACTTGTAACGATGCATTGTGGTGTGCAAACAGTGTTACTTTGAACCTGCTATATAAGGTGTTGTTTCATTTGAATAAAAGGATTTGGCTCTGAACCCCCAACAAGGTAGCAGGGTCCATGTAATTTATTCATGTATTATATTAATATGCCACAGGTATGTACCCTTTACTATTTACAGATCTCCTCTGACATAAACAATGCCAACAAGACTCTAGTTTATAAGTCTATTCAAGTTGAGGTAAAACTCATTTCCCAAATTATTTCCAAGCGCTGAGTCCAGATGCCTGTTGGTAAAGTTTGGACTTTTCTCTTGCAGCAGCTGCAGAGTGGATTTTTTTGAACAGTTGTATTGAGTTTCATAGCAAGGAAAACTGTTTTGTTGACAAGTGGTTGTTACCATGATCTCTACTGAAAGTAAGATGTCGGAAGAGTGAGTCCAAATGTATTTCAGAGTTGTGGGGTATCTTTTTAGGCCCAATGCTTTTAGCATTCTGAGTACATGCTGCTGCTTTAAACAGGCTAAAACTAATATAAACAAACTGAACTGAGGGCTTGTAGCTGTTAGAAATAAGTCAGTCATAATGAAATAGCTTTGTATTTTAAAGCCTAATGAACTGACAAGTGTAAATTAACAGGAGAATATCTCCTAGCTTACATGCAAGTAAAAGGTTGTGTGAAGTGTTGTTTAGTCATGACACCCTCCTGATTCTCTCCTGCCTAACCCAGGCATGGCTGTTCAGTTGTAGGGCTGCCCATTTCACATTCTTAATCCATAGGCACTAATTCTAACTGAAGGATCTTATAGGAAGTGGTATGCACATCCAGTATATCTTTTACATACCCTTTCCCCAAAGTTTACTAGAACTTGGTAGCTGATGGAGCAAAGATTGTCTTCGGGTTTAGGTTCGTGTTGCCTTTAGCAGTTGTTGCTATCATTCATGTTGCTAATGTTTTGTAGCTTTTATTAGGACATTTTTTCTGGAGGCTGCATGTTCCATTGGCACAGTGTATTCCTGATCCACACAGTGGACTTGGAGGGCACTGACAGAGTAAGAGTTCATAGGGATAAACAGCTGATTTCATGGCTTAGAAGGAAGGTGGTGTTCCAAGGAACTAATAAGGGTAGCACCATATTTTTGCAAGCAAGTTGCAATGTCTTTGCTGTCTTCAAATAATGCCAGATCTCAATGAAAGATCCCAGCACAAGTAGCTGCATGAACTTCTGGACTTAATTCATGATATCCTTGAAATGTATTCTTGCAGAAAGAACCTGATGTTGTTCACCTCAAACCATGCTTGAGGTCCATCTAGACCAGAACACTGTAATACACCCCTACTTTTAGAAGTCACTAAAGTGGTGGAGTTTACCAGGTGTTTGATACAGTTTATTAGTTAAATGGAGGTGAGGGAAAACACGGTGTGGGATGGAAGCATTAATTTGGGTTACCTTGGTTACCTTGGTGTTCATGAACACTAAGTCTGCCTCCTGTTCCAAATTATACTTAAATCTCATTTTTCTCTCTGTTGGACTAAAATGTCTTGTTTTTATGAATAAACACCTTGGGTTGTACTATATTAGAACATCTGGGTAAGTTTATGCCAATTGAAATTCTTTAGACATTGTGGTGAAAGTAATCTGATTTACCTGTTTTTCCATACTTGTTATTCCTGTGAGAGAGGATCTTCCTGAGATACCTTTCCTCTAAATTCTTTGCCCAGAAAAAAATATCTGGTTGGAATTATTTGCTTGTTTTTCTTGGTTCCGTTTCATTTTCATTTCAATGCTGTCTCTTACAGGTTTATGCAACTTTGTGGAAGAAACTGAAGCATAAGCCAAAATAAAATGGAATAAATATGAAAGTTCTGTGACAAACTCCTCTGTTTGATATGGACTGAAGTCAACAAAAATATTTTTCTCTGCAATATACTATCTACACTTCAATTGTAAACTGGGCTATTTGATGCCTTGGAAGTCCAAAGGAAATAAATATGTTTTATGTTTATTTTGTCACACTTTAGATTACCCAGACATTCAGTACAGAGCCTCCTTTGACCCAGGATGTCCTTTGGTCAAAAACACAGTCACCTGAAACTAAGTTGGAATAGTCTTGAAACAAAATCATAAAAGCTTTAATTTTCTTTCTTATTTGTGGATTCATATATAATAATAATTTTGCTTCATAACTTCAGACTGAAAAATAGCTTTTAGTATCTATGAAGCTTTTCCTTCAAATACATTTAATGTTTTACAGCAGATTCCTAAGAGGCATGCTAATGTTAGGTACAGAGGGATGAGAAAGGACCTCCTCTTCTTGTGGACAGGACAAAAAATTTGTCTTGAATCAATTAGTTTTTTGTGTGTCTGTAATTTTGAAAGCTAGAGGGCGCTGAGTTTTCCAGCAGCAAAGGAAACAATGCATAAAAAAATAAAGGGGGGATTCAAGACAGCGAAGCAAGATGGTATGAAGATAGAAATATTTACAGTCTTGACAATATTGAAAAGGCAAGAGATGAATGGAGCATATGGTTTGGGGGTTTTGTTTGGGTTTTTTGGGTTTTGTTTTTGTGGTTTTTTCTTTTGGAGGTGGGGGAGTGTGTTTGGTTTTGTTTTGGTTTTCTGTCTTGGTTGGCTTTAGAAGTCCTGATTTCTGTTCAAACTGGTAAAGGTATGGAGTTGCTAAAGCAGAGAACCCCAGTGGGATAGATGCCGGTTTAACTTCTCTGCAAGTGTCAAGAGTGTGTGACCCCTTGGCAGCTGCCCTGAGTCCTGGCAGCAGGCTGAGGGAGAAGCAGCAGAGGAACAATTTGATCAGTTTTTCCACTGAGCTAACTGTTGAGCACCTTATGTTACACACTGGTGTTTAATAAATTAGCTCTCAGAATGTGAGTGTGGTGAAATTACAATTTATGTACAGCAATAGGATGGTTAAATATACATCATGTAGATACTGATAGCTGCTCAATAAATAGTCACCATAGCAGGTGCTAAAGGACATCCCTGTGGTTGAGCTTTAGGAAAAGTACTTTTGTGGTATATATAAGGGAATCTGCATCAGATCATACTGTTCAGTGTTTCCATTGGTTCACTTTATCTACTGACATGGTTTCAAAATCCCTTTCTCTGCTCTCTTTGTGCCAGCTCCTGGCTGTGGATTCAGGGGTCAGCTCAGATTGAATGAGTTTACATGAAGTCAGATCCTAAGCCATCCTCCCCACACTCTGGAAGGTGCTTTGGCATAGAGAAGAGGAGTGGCTGGAGCCTAATGAGTCATACCCAGCTGTTAAGTAAGATTTAGGCTGATCAGTTAATTGAAAACAAAATAGTGACATTTTTGTTTTGAATGAACTGCACAGTCTTCTAGTTCCCTTTCTTAAGTGTCCATCAGTGCTTTCCCAGCCATGCAATTTTTAGTTCCTTGGGAGACCTTACCATTAGTAAAGAGAATGTTGGAAATAATTTGCCCTTTGCTTAAAGGCTTAACTTTGCTTTTAAGTCAGTCCCCTGGCAAATGGAGGATCTGCTTTCCAGAATGTGCCATCTTCATTTTTAAGGGAAATAAAATACTAATTACTACATGATAATACTAATTACTAACTGCTTGAGCAAGAGATCTTCAAGATAGTCTTCCTTAAAACTTGGGTGAATTCCTTTTAGTCCTCTCTACACAATATTGTTTGCAATTTTAGCAAATTTGAGGGGAGTTTACAGACCTTGTGCAGGCAAGAGTCTTAAGACTATGGATTTAATTTTAAGAGAAGTAAAAATACTCTGAAATCTTAGGCACCAGCCTAAATCCACGGAGAAGCCTGAACTTTCCGTGTTTCCATTCAGACTTTGGGAGTACAGCTGAGACTCGAAAAGAGTATTTCTCCAATGCAAAACATTTTGCTTGAAGTCTGAACTGAGACCTGAGTGCCAAAATGTGTATGGTGCTTAGGCAGGAGAAGGGCAAAACCTGTGTCTCACCCTAAATAAACTAGCTCCTCCTGGGTGTGCATAGGAAAATGCTTAACTTCTGATGTGGAAGAGATACAGCAGCTGTTAAGAATGGCATTTGGTAGTTAGTAGTTCTCTAGCAGTGACTGTTGTGTTCCTGTTTGTTATTTTGTGAATGATCATGAACTACTTCTGGATTGAAAAAAGGAACACCATCTGCTGTATTTAACTTGCAGGTAAAATTTTGATGTGAACAAAGCATTGGGAACCTAGAGCTACACTGATATAATTAACAACATGTATTCTGTCAAGGTATTTCTTAGTTACATCTGACATTACATGTCCCAGCTTCTCTGTGTGGTGAAAGTTGTCACTTAGCAGTATTCTACACCTGGATTACTTGTGCTTATAAACTGTTATTTAATATTTTAGCTTTAGTTATTTTGAGCTTTAAAACAGTCAGATTCTCTTTCCAGTGTTTACTCAGAGTGATGTCTACTAAAACAGACCTTCCCAGAGAATAAAAAAAGTATCCAGCCCATGTTATTTTTAAAGTGTTGCCTAAACCCCTTCCAAAGCGAGTTCCTCAGAGGAAAGCAAAGGCATAATTCATTTGCTGAATAGGAAAAACTATTTTTCTAGTTATAGCAGAGAAAGCATTCCCTCATGTTGTTGGACCAGCCAAGCAAATCTCTGACATATAATTCATCAAAATAATAGACAGACTTTCAGTAGGAAAAAATGACTTGTATTCTTTCTCAAGGACCTGCCCTGATGTTTTAGCTATACTGCAAAATATTTATTCGTATTAGAGATGGTAGCAGTAGGGGGGGATTTGACTGTTGTCTGTTTTTCTCTGAGGGCCTATTTGAAAATCAGGGTAAACATTAGAATGTTATTGCATATTCCAGACACTTGCAGAATACCTTCCTGTATTAAACAGGCCAGAGCCAGCATCTTCCAAGCACTTAACATAATGCTATATCAAGTGACACTTTTCTTCCCAATTCTGAATTTTTGCATAGCCACCTGTCCTCCTGGGAAATACACAGGATCCATCATTGTGAAAACCAGGCTTTAAAACTTAAGCTTAAAAATAGAGATATAAATGTTTATTTTTGGCTTTTTTGTGGTCAGCTTCGATGTAGGGGTTTGGTACTCATAAATATTGTTGCTTCCCCCATGTAGCTCTTTCGACTTCACTGTTCAGCAGTCAGCAGTGTGAATTGTGATGCACGGCTGGGGCTGATAGCAGAGATGACGCCATCAAAGGTGGGGATGGGAGTAACTGGAATACTCTAAACTGGGTTTACACCTGCAGGATAACAGCAGTAATGGTAGAATAATGGGTTCAGGAGACAAATTGAAAACAAAAGTAATTTGTATGTTGGAAACTTCAGACTAGTTCAGGTGTAAAGGCAGTTTTATGGGATGTGCTTGTAAGCAAACATAGAGAAGAGAAAGTACAGAACCTTCAGGAGGAGCAGCACAGTATCCTGCCCAGCCATCCTCATTGTTGCTTTTTGTGATGTTGCACTGCTCTCTTCACTAACCTTTGCTGCTCACAGACTCCATGTATGAGCACCAAATATCTTACTTTTTGTAGAGAGGTTTGTGATTTTCCAGCAAAATGCTATTAACACAAATATTTTGCATTCTTGCTTCCATCTGGGTTTTGTCAGTGGTGGGATTATTTTCTCTTAATCCACTCTGCTGCTTTTTAAAAATATAGCATTTTCAAAAGAACGAGTAAGTATTAGATACCTAAAAGAACACCTTTGTTTTGCATTCCTGAAATACTTATTCAAAATAAATGAATATAGATGAATAAATGAAAATGTGTCTAATCTGGCATTCAGGAATTATCTGTTTAGCTAATATTTAAATTATTCTTGGTACAAAACATGTGCATGTCACTATTTTCAATCACACTATACATAGGCTGAGTGATTCTAAGTCACCTACAGAGACCAGTTCTGTCTATCTGGACAGTGGGAAAATACCAGTATAGGTTTGAACTATACCTGACACCTGCTGTTGGCCATGGTTGGTGACAGGATAACTGGTCCATCATTGTGTTTTTGAAGTAAGATTAAAAATAAGTTTTGTTTCTTCATTCTTGTTTTTGTTTGTTTGTTTGTTTGTTTGTTTTTAATGAACTAAACACATATACTCTTATTCTTTTTGAACAACATTCCCAGTGTTCATAAGGGAAATAATATTTTTAAACTGAAATTTTTCCTTCTAACTAGAAGCTGGTTTTCTATCCTTTGAAGCTGCCATGAGGTTGTTGAGAGATGCTGAATGTGCTGATGAAACATATCTCTCTGACTCCACAGCAGTTTAAGTTTTCTCTTTTATTTGGTCATCATTTCATGCAAACTTAATTAGCAGTGCTCTAAAAAAAGAATACTGAAAACCAGTTATTTGATCTTAATATCTAAAAAAACTGTACCATCTTGGCTCATGTCTGCTTGTGCCTTTGGCTAATGGGACCATAAGGGTGTAGCTTTGTCCTGCCAGGACTCGGGGCGGTGGCAGGTCTCCTTGGGCGGGGACTTGCCGGAGCTGCTGATTTTGGTGCAGCCCCGGCCAATGGGGTCAGAGCAGCATTGGTGTCCTTGCCCACAGGTTCCTTCTGTGTGTCACAGCCCCGTGTTCAAGAGGGTCACCAGCCAGGACTTCTCCCAAGGAGCCCGTGCCAGCTTCTGTGGAGGCCCCGTGGCCTTCCCACTGTGGCTGCGTCGGCAGCTGAGGGGGCTCCTTGTGCTGCTGTGGGCAGGCACAGCAGGGGAGGGTTTGCTTAGTTTTTCGTCTGTGCCTAAAGTTCATGTCCAGCTGTCTTAGATACTTTGGAAAACAGATTCCTTCCGAATCTGGGGGCAGGTTGGCCAGGCTGGGGGAGCCCCCAGGGCACGTGGCAGTGTGTCACAGGGCCCTTTGTGACACGGTGGGCATTGCCAATGGATGGCACGGGGCAGGGTGTCACAGGGCCCTTTGTGACACGTGATGACTTAATACCGGTGGTGAGGTGGCCACGCCTCAGTGCTCCTCGGAGCGTGCGACGGGACAGACGGGACAGAGCGGTGCTGTGCGGAGCCCCCGTGCAGCCAACTCGTTCCTTACTGATCCGGAGCTTTTTGGAGTCTTCTCTGTGGTTCAAGCGCCCTCGAGGCCAGACCGCGGGACTTGGTGACCCGGAGCTTTTCTGCGGTGTCTCCAATCCCTGCGGCAGGTGCCATCGAGGCCATTCTCTGGGGCTTCGTGCCCCAGAGCTTTTCCCTGGCGTCTCCAATCCCTGCAGCAGGTGCCCTTGAGGCCCAACTGTAGGATGGCAGGGAGACGCTTCAGCCTGTGCAGGGTTCTCAGGAGGAAGAAGAAGACCGGAGACCCTGGGACTTCCCCTGCACAGCAGCCTGAAGAGATGCAGCAGGTCCAACCCCTGCAGGAGGGTGAGTGGCAGAGCTGGGCCACAGGACTGGTGGCTGCAGCTGGCTGAGCCTCTTCCCATCCCATCCTCTGTGGACATGCCCAGGGAAAGGGAGCAGGGAATAGGGGCCGGGGCTGATCCCCTGGCAGCTCCACGCACTGGGCATCCTGGGGCTGGCCCTGCCTGTGGAGTGCAGGGCTGGGCTGTGTTCTCTGGCCCCTCCTGCAGCCCCTCAGCTCTGACTGCGCTCTCTCTTTGCCAGATCCAGGCCGAGTCCAGACAGAAGAGCAGGACCACGCCCATGGCCGGTTCCACAGGGCGGCACAGGTACCTACAGCCATTCCCCCCTGGGCTGGGCCTGCTGTCACTGCTCAGCCGAGCACTGCTGTCAGAGCTCTCCATGGCACATTCCTCCCTTCCCTGCCCTTTGTTTTCCTGCAGGCCTTTCTGAAATTCTTGGGCATTCGGCGTACAAAGACCGGGAGAACACCAACCGAGGTCATGGCACAGCCTGACCCCATGCCGAAGGAGCTCAAGGCAAAGCCTGATGTCGGCACCGTGTCAACTGATGGCACAGCAACCTGTGACACCGCGGTGACCGATGAGCTGATGAACACCGACAGCAAACCTGTTCAGCGCCTGGCCGATGCTCCGAGTCTGGACTTTGTTGAGGAGAGCGTTGTCTCTGCTCAAGTAAGCAGCCTGTGGCCGGGATTGTGTGGCCCTTCTGCTGGGCCCCCTCAGCCTTTGAGGCCAGCACAGTGTGGTGGGAAGGGAAGCACTTCTCGGGGGCTAAACTGGGCAAGTTGCTCCCTCTGGCAGCTCTCCAACTCCCTCATGTCCCCTCCTGGCCAGACTCTGGGACTTGATGACCTGGAGCCTTCCGGAACCTCCTCTGTTGCAGGAGCTTTCAAGGCACTTCTGCAGGACTTGGTGACCCAGAGCTTTTCTGTGCCATGTCTCCTGCAGGTAGCCGTGGAGCCAGACAGAGGCATGGAGCAGAGACCGCCCAGGGTGCCCAAGCTGGCCTGGCTGAAGGAGGGGGAGGAGGAAAGCCCTGGGCCTGCCCCAGCCCAGCACCCTGAGGATGTGGAGCAGTTCCAGCCCCTGCAGGAGGGTGAGTGGCAGAGCTGGGCCACAGGACTGGTGGCTGCAGCCACCTGAGCCTCTTCCCATCCCATCCTCTGTGGACATGCCCAGAGAAAGGGAGCAGGGAATAGGGGCCAGGGCTGATCCCCTGGCAGCTCCACGCTCTGGGCATCCTGGGGCTGGCCCTGCCTGTGGAGTGCAGGGCTGGGCTGTGTTCTCTGGCCCCTCCTGCAGCCCCTCAACTCTGACTGCGCTCTCTCTTTGCCAGAACCAGGCCGGGTCCAGACAGAAGAGCAGGACCGCGCCCATGGCCGATTCCACAGGGCAGCACAGGTACCTACAGCCATTCCCCCCTGGACTGGGCCTGCTGTCACTGCTCAGCCGAGCACTGCTGTCAGAGCTCTCCATGGCACATTCCTCCCTTCCCTGCCCTTTGTTTTCCTGCAGGCCTTTCTGAAATTCTTGGGCATTCGGCGTAGAAAGACCGGGAGAACACCAACCGAGGTCATGGCACAGCCTGACCCCACGCCGAAGGAGCTCAAGGCAAAGCCTGATGTCGGCACCGTGTCAACTGATGGCACAGCAACCTGTGACACCGCGGTGACCGATGAGCTGATGAACACCGACAGCAAACCTGTTCAGCGCCTGGCCGATGCTCCGAGTCTGGACTTTGTTGAGGAGAGCGTTGTCTCTGCTCAAGTAAGCAGCCTGAGGCCCGGGATTGTGTGGCCCTTCTGCTGGGCCCCCTCAAGCCTTTGAGGCCAGCACAGTGTGGTGGGAAGGGAAGCACTTCTCGGGGGTAAACTGGGCAAGTTGCTCCCTCTGGCAGCTCTCCAACTCCCTCATGTTCCCTCCTGGCCAGATTCTGGGACTTGATGACCTGGAGCCTTCCGGAACCTCCTCTGTTGCAGGAGCTTTCAAGGCACTTCTGCAGGACTTGGGTGACCCAGAGCTTTTCTGTGCCATGTCTCCTGCAGGTAGCCGTGGAGCCAGACAGAGGCATGGAGCAGAGACCGCCCAGGGTGCCCAAGCTGGCCTGGCTGAAGGAAGGGGAGGAGGAAAGCCCTGGGCCTGCCCCAGCCCAGCACCCTGAGGATGTGGAGCAGTTCCAGCCCCTGCAGGAGGGTGAGTGGCAGAGCTGGGCCACAGGACTGGTGGCTGCAGCCACCTGAGTCTCTTCCCATCCCATCCTCTGTGGACATGCCCAGAGAAAGGGAGCAGGGAATAGGGGCCAGGGCTGATCCCTCGGCAGCTCCATGCACTGGGCATCCTGGGGCTGGCCCTGCCTGTGGAGTGCAGGGCTGGGCTGTGTTCTCTGGCCCCTGTTGCAGCCCCTCAACTCTGACCACGCTCTTTCTTTGCCAGATCCAAGCCAAGACTGAACAGAGGAGCAGGACCGTGCCCGGGGCCACTTCCGCAGGGCAGCACAGGTACCTGAGGCCATTCCCCCCTGGGCTGGGCCTGCTGTCACTGCTCAGCCGAGCGCTGCTGTCAGAGCTCTCCATGGCACATTCTCATGGCACTGCTCCTCCTGCCTTTCTCCTGCAGATGGTTTGTGAATTCACCCGGTGCATTTGGAGGGAAGAGACCATTGCCATGGGCGCTGGGGGCATGGCAAACTCTGACTTCCACAATGCTGAAACCAGTGCTGCCCTGTTGGATTTGCTCATGGAAAATGGTGTCTCCAATCCCAAGAATGTAAGCAGCCTGTGGCCAGGGCTCAAGCCCCCCAGGGGTTGTACAGCCCCTCACGCAGGATCCGCTGGGCCCCCTCAGCCTTTGAGGCCAGCACAGTGTGGCGGGAAGGGAAGCACTTTTTGGGAGAAGCTGGGCAAGTTGGCAGCTCTCCAAATGTCCCCCGTGCCCCCTGCAGGTGCCAGCCTTCGTGAGGTACATCCACCCGTGGCTCACGTCCAGTGTGTCTCCTGAGCACAGACTAGACAAGACTCTTCTGGATCTGGCCGAGGCACACCCCGTGGATGTGGTGGTGACTGGGCTGAAAACCTGGGTTAGGGGCAGATTCAGGGGCACCAGGCCAGGTGCTCCTCCTGTGTCTCCCCTGGCCTCTCCCTCCCGCACTCGGGCCTTGCCACGTGGATGTCTCAGCACTGAGCGCTGCCTCCAGCTGTTTTACTTTTTTGCAGGCAAACGTGGCGCTGTGGACGATCCTCCAGCTGCCCTCGTGCCCACGTACAGTGAGGGAGTGTTTCCCCAGCCTCTTTGTGCATCTGCTCTTCCAGGTGTTCTTCAACGCAGCGCATAGGCTGGAGGAGGACGATGCCTTCTGGAGGGAATGCCAGGACCAACACAGCCTTCCCACCAACCCCAACAGGTGCTCCACCCCAGTCCTCCTGTCCCTCCTAGGCCCTCGGGGCTGGGACCAGGGCTCAGCATGACCTGGGCTTTGCTCTGCACACAGGTTTGCAGTGCTGACCATCAAAGCCCTGCTGCGCCATCTGAGGTGTGAGGGTGTGGTGATGGCACTGGAACGCAAGTGTGGCTGGGACAGGCTGCTCAGCGCTGACACCCACCACTACGCAATGGGTCTGCTGGCCAGGTGAGACCCCCTTGTTCCCACTGCCCCTGTCATTTCTGCCTGTGCATGGGGCACCACACAGTGCCCGTGGTCGCGGGCGAGAGGGCCTTGTCACTGAGGGATGGCTGAGAGTGGAAAAGGCTGGGAGAGGCGGGTGCACAGGAGGAGCCACCTCCCAAAGTGCCCTTGTCCCCTCCCATGGTGCTGGAAAAGACCACGCCTCTGTGAGACAGTCCCAGAAGATGTTTGGTCACCCAGCTCAGGGATTACAGTGCCTTTCTCCCCCTGCCAGGGAGATGGTCTGTATCTGCACACCCTGGTGTTGCAGGATTGTATGCTGCCTCCTGGAGCTGCTCAGTGAAGAGATGTGTCCCTGGGAACTCCCTGCCATGGCGTTCCTTGTGGAGGTGAGTCTGATGGCAAGCGCTGCCTCCCTGAGCTGTCTCCACGTCTCTGCAGGGAAAGCCCAGTGAACGGAGCTGGGGCAGAGGGGTTCTCCACTGTGTGCCCTTGGCCCATTGCTGCTGGGGTGACACTTGTCCCCAGCTGTATTTTGGGTCCCTCTGCTGCCAGCACTCGCGCTTCCCTCATGGCTCCTCAAGGCCAAGGAATCCAAGGCTGCCGAGGGCTGGTTGGCACAGAGGAGTGGGCACGTGGCCTGCACAGGGCAGGGAGCCCAGGGGCTCTGCAGAGCTACTGCTGCTTTTGGGCAGGGCTGCCCGGGATGGCTCCGCGCCCTGTGCTGCTGCCTGGGCCCAGCCCTGTGCGGGTCCAGGCTCCTGCCGGCCGGGCAGCCCGTCACTGCTCTGTGCTTTCCAGGTCCTGGTGTACCTGGATGTGACAGAATGTGGTGAAAGCATCCTGCAGATCCTTTCGAGGCACCTGTGGAGTGAGTGCCCAGAGATGCATTGCCAAGTGCTCAGAGGCCCCGTGGTGCTCAGCCAGGATCCCGTGATGGTGAGAAGGGGGCAGGGGCTGAAGGCCTGCTGGAATCCTGGGGCTGGGGAACGCAGTCACTTGGGCTTGGCTGGGCTTAGGGAGCTGTGGCAGCTGCTCCCAGCTCTGCTGCCTCCCCGTTCAGCTGCCCAAGCCCTTTGGGACAGGCCTTTGGCCTCCGGGCCCCACGGCAGCACGTGGGGCTGCCCCGCCGGAGCGGGATTGGTGGTGCAGCCGTTCATGGCTTCACAGCACAGCACTGTGTTCCTCACAGGCCAAAAGAATGGGCAGCCTGACTGAAAGCCTTGAGGAGCTCCTGTGGGATTCAGACAGAGAGCTGGTCAGGATGACTGCCACTGTCCTCGAATTTCTGTCCTTGGAGAAAGACATCTGACACCAGCCCTGCAGCTGGCTGAGGCGCTCCAGCCACTCTTTGACAATGTAAGGCTCTGTGCCCCCGCAGTCACGGGTGGGATGGCCCTGGCTGGAGGTGTTTCTCAGGTCACCACAGGTCTAGGCTCTGACCTTGGCTCTGTTCCTCCCTGTTCCAGCCCTCCGAGGTATGAAGAATGACAGCAGCCCCGCTATCTCAAGCCTGGCGTTTCAAACCTGCTCTGCGGAGCAGTTTCTGGCTGTGCTGCCAGAGCTCTGTGGAGAGTTGATGTAGGAAGCTGTGTGTGCTGGGGCCACGTGAGCCTGCGAGGAAGACCCCTTCTCTGCAAGCACTTTCCTTTATCCCAGCATGGGAATATAAAATTCCTTTTGTCACATACAGAGCCTCAGGAGTGTTTTTTGGTGTCCAGTTTCCACAGGGCACTGGGAAAGAGGGGAAAAAGGGTCCTTGTGCTCAGCAACACTTGGCCCAGGTGTGCAGCGAGAAGAGAAGCTGCCCTAAGTCCCCTTGGCCTTTGGTGGTTCTGCTGAAGCCTCAAAGTTTCCACGGAGCAGTTTGCTGGACGTGTTTTCCTATGTGAGAAGTAGATGGACCTTTTGGACTCTGCAAGACTGAAAGTGCATCACGCTACCTACAGCAGAGGTTGAAAGTGCCGTGTACCATGGTGGTGTGTGCAGTTCTCAGGCTGCAAGGAAAAGTAACTCCCACTTGATTGTGGTGCAAATACAAGTTTGCAAATGGAAGGGAAGGTCGGTGAAATTCTTCTGTTCTGGCACATTTTCTTTGGCAGCAGGGGAGGACGTTTTCAACTTTGGATCTTCCCATTTGGATAAGCCCGGTACGTTTACGTCTTTTTCAAGGACACGCCGACGTTCCCACTGTCGCTGTTCAACAGCTCCACGAGGTGGCGGTGTGTACATAACAAACAACCCAAAATGCAGCTCCGAAGGTGAAAACGTCCTGTCACAATTCTCAAACGAAACGTGTCAGGACAGAAAAGGTGCCAGGACAAAAAGCTCTGGAGCTTGGCTTTTCCATTCCCACTGGAGCAACAGCAGTTCACACGATAGCACTGTATACTAGGAAAAGCAAATAAATTCACCAAGACCAACCAACGTGTGGATTCAAAATTAATTTCCCTAACCAAGAGAGGAATTATGACCCCACGCCTCAAAAGAAATGTGATCCCCACCTCCGAAATAGAAAACATCAGCATCAAGTGCCAGTTGAATGTCTGGGTACCACCATCCAGGGAAAAGCACCCCCACTAGTGGTGGCACCAGATGCCCACCAGGGCCAGGCAGAGCAAGCCCAGGATTCCCAGGAGGGTGCAGAAGGGCAGGAAGGGCACATCTGGCATGGGCACACCACGGTGCTGTCACCTGGGGATGAGTGAGGTGTCTGCTCAGGCTCTGGCTGTGCCCAGACACCCCCTGGTTCTGGGGACTGTGAGGGGCTGAGAGACCTGTGGGGGCTGTGAGGTCTATGGGTGCTATGAGGGCAGTAAGGGCTATGGGATCTGAGGTCTGTGAGGGTTATGGAGGCTCTGAGGGGTATGGGGTCTGTGAGGGGTATGGGGTCAGCGAGGTCAGTGAGGGTTAAAGGGTCTATGAGAACAGTGAGGGCAATGGGGTCTGAAAGGGCTTTGGAGTCTGAGGTGGCCTGTGAGGGCTGTGGAGGCTCTGAGGGCTATGGGGGCTGTGAGGACTCCATAATTTCCACATGGTTAGGGAATATGTTCTTACAGCTTCTACCCTATAACTGATACTCCACAAACTTTGTTTTCAAGACTTCCTTGATAGTAGTTTTCTAATTGCAACAGATGTCAGAGCATTGTTTCCATGATAATTAAAGCTGAGTGGCCATTTGCTGTAAGTGAGGTTGTTGGGGTCTGTAGTGGGTTGAGATCTCATGACTGGGAGATGATTGCAGGAGGATGGGGGGAGAGCAGAGGCCGCCGTGAAATTCCTAAGGTCAGCAGCAACATGTTTGTTGGAGCTCCTGTTTTTGTTATGATCCTGTGAATAAGGGTCCTGTGACCTCCTGGCCTGTGGCTTGGAAATGGGCTGGAGGATGGGCTGCTGGTGGATGCTCCTGGTCTGACTCCACCTGGCTTTTGGAAACTCCCCTAGCTTGGCCAGGTGCTTGGGATGACCCTGTGTTGATGGGAGCCAAAACACCCATCAGTGTTCATGAAGTGAGGAGCAGAGCTGGAGCTGTTGCCATTGTAAATCAACCCACCACCCCAAGCATCATTGCAGCACCTTGTCTGGGCACATCTTCTCTCTGCAGCACTTAGGGCAGCTGTTTGGAAAGCTGGGTATTGTTATACATGGCGAAATTGTTGGGGTTTTGCCCCTTGGTTTGGAGGAGGAGGGACTTGTTTCTCAGGAAGAAAATGAGGACGGGAAAGTGAGAGTGTTGGCTGGTTTTGCTGGAGTGGCATTTGCTGTCTTCAGAAGCAACTGTATACTATCTTCATGCGTCGGTTTTGTTGAACTCTGATTATGGATTTCCTTCCAGTTATCAGCTAAAACATTGTAAAACGAATGGCTGGAGAAAGTCCAGGCCACATGTCCTATACATCAGTTCACAGTTGTCTCACAAACGATTACCAAGAACTGCAAAGATAGCAACTCATGTGACTATTATTTTTAAGAGAGTAGCCCTGCAGCTAGAAGGCAAGTTTCTCTTAAAGAAGATATCCCAGAAATCCATTATTTTATCGTCTGGCAATACTGAAAATCAGAAATGGAGCCTGAAATCCATCTATACCTGGTTTCCCAGGAGAGGCTTAGCTTATGGCATTTGCCTCTCCTGTTTTGCCACGAGGGTGCCCAGATCCCCAACTCAACTGGACTCAACACCCATCTGAGCCCCCAGCTATTAGGAAACACGTAACTTTGCCTCTACATCCCTGTTCCTGACTTCTACCCCATGCACATGTGGTCACTGCAGGTGCTGGCAGACTTAGGCACACATATAACATCGTCTGGCTCTACAAGATAGAATCATAAAGATCAAGTCCAAGCATTAAGCTAACACTGCCAGCTCCACCACTAAACTGTGCCCCCAGGTGCCACATCTACACCTTTTTTGAACACTTCCATGTGATAGTGTCTGCCTGAGTGGTTCTGGGTGTGGGTTTTCTCTCTTTCATGAGTTTGTAAGATTTGGGAGCCTTTATTCATGGCTGTATGATGGGGGAGGGAACTGTGGGCAGGCAGGTTTAATTGTCCTTCCCAACGCAGAGAATCGCTAGAATTCCTGGGAAATACACAGGATCCATCATTCTGAGAACCAGGCTTTAAAGCTTAAGCTTAAAAATAGAGATATAAATGTTTATTTTTGGCTTTTTTGTGGTCAGCTTCGATGTAGGGGTTTGGTACTCATAAATATTGTTGATTCCCCCATGTAGCTCTTTCGACTTCACTGTTCAGCAGTCAGCAGTGTGAATTGTGATGCACGGCTGGGGCTGATACCAGAGATGATGCCATCAAAGGTGGGGATGGGAGTAACTGGAATACTCTAAACCGGGTTTACACCTGCAGGATAACAGCAGTAATGGTAGAATAATGGGTTCAGGAGACAAATTGAAAACAAAAGTAATTTGTATGTTGGAAACTTCAGACTAGTTCAGGTGTAAAGGCAGTTTTATGGGATGTGCTTGTAAGCAAACACAGAGAAGAGAAAGTACAGAACCTTCAGGAGGAGCAGCACAGTATCCTGCCCAGCCATCCTCATTGTTGCTTTTTGTGATGTTGCATTGCTCTCTTCACTAACCTTTGCTGCTCACAGACTCCATGTATGAGCACCAAATATCTTACTTTTTGTAGAGAGGTTGGTGATTTTCCAGCAAAATGCTATTAACACAAATATTTTGCATTCTTGCTTCCATCTGGCTTTTGTCAGTGGTGGGATTATTTTCTCTTAATCCACTCTGCTGCTTTTTAAAAATATAGCATTTTCAAAAGAACGAGTAAGTATTAGATACCTAAAAGAACACCTTTGTTTTGCATTCCTGAAATACTTATTCAAAATAAATGAATATAGATGAATAAATGAAAATGTGTCTAATCTGGCATTCAGGAATTATCTGTTTAGCTAATATTTAAATTATTCTTGGTACAAAACATGTGCATGTCACTATTTTCAGTCACACTATACATAGGCTGAGTGATTCTAAGTCACCTACAGAGACCAGTTCTGTCTATCTGGACAGTGGGAAAATACCAGTATAGGTTTGAACTATACCTGACACCTGCTGTTGGCCATGGTTGGTGACAGGATAACTGGTCCATCATTGTGTTTTTGAAGTAAGATTAAAAATAAGTTTTGTTTCTTCATTCTTGTTTTTGTTTGTTTGTTTGTTTGTTTTGTGAACTAAACACATATACTCTTATTCTTTTTGAACAACATTCCCAGTGTTCATAAGGGAAATAATATTTTTAAACTGAAATTTTTCCTTCTAACTAGAAGCTGGTTTTCTATCCTTTGAAGCTGCCATGAGGTTGTTGAGAGATGCTGAATGTGCTGATGGAACATATCTCTCTGACTCCACAGCAGTTTAAGTTTTCTCTTTTATTTGGTCATCATTTCATGCAAACTTAATTAGCAGTGCTCTAAAAAAAGAATACTGAAAACCAGTTATTTGATCTTAATATCTAAAAAAACTGTACCATCTTGGCTCATGTCTGCTTGTGCCTTTGGCTAATGGGACCATAAGGGTGTAGCTTTGTCCTGCCAGGACTCGGGGCGGTGGCAGGTCTCCTTGGGCGGGGACTTGCCGGAGCTGCTGATTTTGGTGCAGCCCCGGCCAATGGGGTCAGAGCAGCATTGGTGTCCTTGCCCACAGGTTCCTTCTGTGTGTCACAGCCCCGTGTTCAAGAGGGTCACCAGCCAGGACTTCTCCCAAGGAGCCCGTGCCAGCTTCTGTGGAGGCCCCGTGGCCTTCCCACTGTGGCTGCGTCGGCAGCTGAGGGGGCTCCTTGTGCTGCTGTGGGCAGGCACAGCAGGGGAGGGTTTGCTTAGTTTTTCGTCTGTGCCTAAAGTTCATGTCCAGCTGTCTTAGATACTTTGGAAAACAGACTCCTTCCGAATCTGGGGGCAGGTTGGCCAGGCTGGGGGAGCCCCCAGGGCACGTGGCAGTGTGTCACAGGGCCCTTTGTGACACGGTGGGCATTGCCAATGGATGGCACGGGGCAGGGTGTCACAGGGCCCTTTGTGACACGTGATGACTTAATACCGGTGGTGAGGTGGCCACGCCTCAGTGCTCCTCGGAGCGTGCGACGGGACAGACGGGACAGAGCGGTGCTGTGCGGAGCCCCCGTGCAGCCAACTCGTTCCTTACTGATCCGGAGCTTTTTGGAGTCTTCTCTGTGGTTCAAGCGCCCTCGAGGCCAGACCGCGGGACTTGGTGACCCGGAGCTTTACTGCGGTGTCTCCAATCCCTGCGGCAGGTGCCATCGAGGCCATTCTCTGGGGCTTCGTGCCCCAGAGCTTTTCCCTGGCGTCTCCAATCCCTGCAGCAGGTGCCCTTGAGGCCCAACTGTAGGATGGCAGGGAGACGCTTCAGCCTGTGCAGGGTTCTCAGGAGGAAGAAGAAGACCGGAGACCCTGGGACTGCCCCTGCACAGCAGCCTGAAGAGATGCAGCAGGTCCAACCCCTGCAGGACGGTGAGTGGCAGAGCTGGGCCACAGGACTGGTGGCTGCAGCTGGCTGAGCCTCTTCCCATCCCATCCTCTGTGGACATGCCCAGGGAAAGGGAGCAGGGAATAGGGGCCGGGGCTGATCCCCCGGCAGCTCCACGCACTGGGCATCCTGGGGCTGGCCCTGCCTGTGGAGTGCAGGGCTGGGCTGTGTTCTCTGGCCCCTCCTGCAGCCCATCAGCTCTGACTGCGCTCTCTCTTTGCCAGATCCAGGCCAGGTCCAGACAGAAGAGCAGGACCACGCCCATGGCCGATTCCACAGGGCGGCACAGGTACCTACAGCCATTCCCCCCTGGGCTGGGCCTGCTGTCACTGCTCAGCCACGCAATGCTGTCGGAGCTCTCCATGGCACATTCCTCCCTTCCCTGCCCTTTGTTTTCCTGCAGGCCTTTCTGAAATTCTTGGGCATTCGGCGTACAAAGACCGGGAGAACACCAACCGAGGTCATGGCACAGCCTGACCCCATGCCGAAGGAGCTCAAGGCAAAGCCTGATGTCGGCACCGTGTCAACTGATGGCACAGCAACCTGTGACACCGCGGTGACCGATGAGCTGATGAACACCGACAGCAAACCTGTTCAGCGCCTGGCCGATGCTCCGAGTCTGGACTTTGTTGAGGAGAGCGTTGTCTCTGCTCAAGTAAGCAGCCTGAGGCCCGGGATTGTGTGGCCCTTCTGCTGGGCCCCCTCAAGCCTTTGAGGCCAGCACAGTGTGGTGGGAAGGGAAGCACTTCTCGGGGGTAAACTGGGCAAGTTGCTCCCTCTGGCAGCTCTCCAACTCCCTCATGTTCCCTCCTGGCCAGATTCTGGGACTTGATGACCTGGAGCCTTCCGGAACCTCCTCTGTTGCAGGAGCTTTCAAGGCACTTCTGCAGGCCTTGGTGACCCAGAGCTTTTCTGTGCCATGTCTCCTGCAGGTAGCCGTGGAGCCAGACAGAGGCATGGAGCAGAGACCGCCCAGGGTGCCCAAGCTGGCCTGGCTGAAGGAGGGGGAGGAGGAAAGCCCTGGGCCTGCCCCAGCCCAGCACCCTGAGGATGTTGAGCAGTTCCAGCCCCTGCAGGAGGGTGAGTGGCAGAGCTGGGCCACAGGACTGGTGGCTGCAGCCACCTGAGCCTCTTCCCATCCCATCCTCTGTGGACATGCCCAGGGAAAGGGAGCAGGGAATAGGGGCCGGGGCTGATCCCCCGGCAGCTCCACGCACTGGGCATCCTGGGGCTGGCCCTGCCTGTGGAGTGCAGGGCTGGGCTGTGTTCTCTGGCCCCTCCTGCAGCCCCTCAGCTCTGACTGCGCTCTCTCTTTGCCAGAACCAGGCCGGGTCCAGACAGAAGAGCAGGACCGCGCCCATGGCCGATTCCACAGGGCGGCACAGGTACCTACAGCCATTCCCCCCTGGACTGGGCCTGCTGTCACTGCTCAGCCGAGCACTGCTGTCAGAGCTCTCCATGGCACATTCCTCCCTTCCCTGCCCTTTGTTTTCCTGCAGGCCTTTCTGAAATTCTTGGGCATTCGGCGTACAAAGACCGGGAGAACACCAACCGAGGTCATGGCACAGCCTGACCCCACGCCGAAGGAGCTCAAGGCAAAGCCTGATGTCGGCACCGTGTCAACTGATGGCACAGCAACCTGTGACACCGCGGTGACCGATGAGCTGATGAACACCGACAGCACACCTGTTCAGCGCCTGGCCGATGCTCCGAGTCTGGACTTTGTTGAGGAGAGCGTTGTCTCTGCTCAAGTAAGCAGCCTGTGGCCGGGGATTGTGTGGCCCTTCTGCTGGGCCCCCTCAGCCTTTGAGGCCAGCACAGTGTGGTGGGAAGGGAAGCACTTCTCGGGGGGGTAAACTGGGCAAGTTGCTCCCTCTGGCAGCTCTCCAACTCCCTCATGTCCCCTCCTGGCCAGACTCTGGGACTTGATGACCTGGAGCCTTCCGGAACCTCCTCTGTTGCAGGAGCTTTCAAGGCACTTCTGCAGGACTTGGTGACCCAGAGGTTTTCTGTGCCATGTCTCCTGCAGGTAGCCGTGGAGCCAGACAGAGGCATGGAGCAGAGACCGCCCAGGGTGCCCAAGCTGGCCTGGCTGAAGGAGGGGGAGGAGGAAAGCCCTGGGCCTGCCCCAGCCCAGCACCCTGAGGATGTGGAGCAGTTCCAGCCCCTGCAGGAGGGTGAGTGGCAGAGCTGGGCCACAGGACTGGTGGCTGCAGCCACCTGAGCCTCTTCCCATCCCATCCTCTGTGGACATGCCCAGAGAAATGGAGCAGGGAATAGGGGCCAGGGCTGATCCCCTGGCAGCTCCACGCACTGGGCATCCTGGGGCTGGCCCTGCCTGTGGAGTGCAGGGCTGGGCTGTGTTCTCTGGCCCCTCCTGCAGCCCCTCAGCTCTGACTGCGCTCTCTCTTTGCCAGAACCAGGCCGGGTCCAGACAGAAGAACAGGACCGCGCCCATGGCCGATTCCACAGGACAGCACAGGTACCTACAGCCATTCCCCCCTGGGCTGGGCCTGCTGTCACTGCTCAGCCGAGCACTGCTGTCAGAGCTCTCCATGGCACATTCCTCCCTTCCCTGCCCTTTGTTTTCCTGCAGGCCTTTCTGAAATTCTTGGGCATTCGGCGTACAAAGACCGGGAGAACACCAACCGAGGTCATGGCACAGCCTGACCCCACGCCGAAGGAGCTCAAGGCAAAGCCTGATGTCGGCACCGTGTCAACTGATGGCACAGCAACCTGTGACACCGCGGTGACCGATGAGCTGATGAACACCGACAGCACACCTGTTCAGCGCCTGGCCGATGCTCCGAGTCTGGACTTTGTTGAGGAGAGCGTTGTCTCTGCTCAAGTAAGCAGCCTGTGGCCGGGGATTGTGTGGCCCTTCTGCTGGGCCCCCTCAAGCCTTTGAGGCCAGCACAGTGTGGTGGGAAGGGAAGCACTTCTCGGGGGGTAAACTGGGCAAGTTGCTCCCTCTGGCAGCTCTCCAACTCCCTCATGTCCCCTCCTGGCCAGACTCTGGGACTTGATGACCTGGAGCCTTCCGGAACCTCCTCTGTTGCAGGAGCTTTCAAGGCACTTCTGCAGGCCTTGGTGACCCAGAGCTTTTCTGTGCCATGTCTCCTGCAGGTAGCCGTGGAGCCAGACAGAGGCATGGAGCAGAGACCGCCCAGGGTGCCCAAGCTGGCCTGGCTGAAGGAAGGGGAGGAGGAAAGCCCTGGGCCTGCCCCAGCCCAGCACCCTGAGGATGTGGAGCAGTTCCAGCCCCTGCAGGAGGGTGAGTGGCAGAGCTGGGCCACAGGACTGGTGGCTGCAGCCACCTGAGTCTCTTCCCATCCCATCCTCTGTGGACATGCCCAGAGAAAGGGAGCAGGGAATAGGGGCCAGGGCTGATCCCTCGGCAGCTCCATGCACTGGGCATCCTGGGGCTGGCCCTGCCTGTGGAGTGCAGGGCTGGGCTGTGTTCTCTGGCCCCTGTTGCAGCCCCTCAGCTCTGACCACGCTCTTTCTTTGCCAGATCCAAGCCAAGACTGAACAGAGGAGCAGGACCGTGCCCGGGGCCGCTTCCGCAGGGCAGCACAGGTACCTGAGGCCATTCCCCCCTGGGCTGGGCCTGCTGTCACTGCTCAGCCGAGCGCTGCTGTCAGAGCTCTCCATGGCACATTCTCATGGCACTGCTCCTCCTGCCTTTCTCCTGCAGATGGTTTGTGAATTCACCCGGTGCATTTGGAGGGAAGAGACCATTGCCATGGGCGCTGGGGGCATGGCAAACTCTGACTTCCACAATGCTGAAACCAGTGCTGCCCTGCTGGATTTGCTCATGGAAAATGGTGTCTCCAATCCCAAGAATGTAAGCAGCTTGTGGCCAGGGCTCAAGCCCCCCAGGGGTTGTACAGCCCCTCACGCAGGATCCGCTGGGCCCCCTCAGCCTTTGAGGCCAGCACAGTGTGGCGGGAAGGGAAGCACTTCTTGGGAGAAGCTGGGCAAGTTGGCAGCTCTCCAAATCTCCCCCGTGCCCCCTGCAGGTGCCAGCCTTCGTGAGGTACATCCACCAGTGGCTCACGTCCAGTGTGTCTCCTGAGCACAGACTAGACAAGACTCTTCTGGATCTGGCCGAGGCACACCCCGTGGATGTGGTGGTGACTGGGCTGAAAACCTGGGTTAGGGGCAGGTTCAGGGGCACCAGGCCAGGTGCTCCTCCTGTGTCTCCCCTGGCCTCTCCCTCCCACACTCGGGCCTTGCCACGTGGATGTCTCAGCACTGAGCGCTGCCTCCAGCTGTTTTACTTTTTTGCAGGCAAACGTGGCGCTGTGGACGATCCTCCAGCTGCCCTGGTGCCCACGTACAGTGAGGGAGTGTTTCCCCAGCCTCTTTGTGCATCTGCTCTTCCAGGTGTTCTTCAACGCAGCGCATAGGCTGGAGGAGGACGACGCCTTCTGGAGGGAATGCCAGGACCAACACAGCCTTCCCACCAACCCCAACAGGTGCTCCACCCCAGTCCTCCTGTCCCTCCTAGGCCCTCGGGGCTGGGACCAGGGCTCTCAGCATAACCTGGGCTTTGCTCTGCACACAGGTTTGCAGTGCTGACCATCAAAGCCCTGCTGTGCCATCTGCGGTGTGAGGGTGTGGTCATGGCACTGGAACGCAAGTGTGGCTGGGACACGCTGCTCAGCGCTGACACCCACCACTACGCTGTGGGTCTGCTGGCCAGGTGAGTCCCCCTTGTTCCCACTGCCCCTGTCATTTCTGCCTGTCCGTGGGGCACCACACACAGTGCCCGTGGTCACGGGCGAGAGGGCCTTGTCACTGAGGGATGGCTGAGAGTGGAAAAGGCTGGGAGAGGCGGGTGCACAGGAGGAGCCACCTCCCAAAGTGCCCTTGTCCCCTCCCACGGTGCTGGAAAAGACCACGCCTCTGTGAGACAGTCCCAGAAGATGTTTGGTCACCCAGCTCAGGGATTACAGTGCCTTTTTCCCCCTGCCAGGGAGATGGTCTGTATCTGCACACCGTGGTGTTGCAGGATTGTATGCTGCCTCCTGGAGCTGCTCAGTGAAGAGATGTGTCCCTGGGAGCTCCCTGCCATGGCGTTCCTTGTGGAGGTGAGTCTGATGGCAAGCGCTGCCTCCCTGAGCTGTCTCCACCTCTCTGCAGGGAAAGCCCAGTGAATGGAGCTGGGGCAGAGGGGTTCTCCACTGTGTGCCCTTGGCCCGTTGCTGCTGGGGTGACACTTGTCCCCAGCTGTATTTTGGGTCCCTCTGCTGCCAGCACTTGCGCTTCCCTCATGTCTCCTCAAGGCCAAGGAATCCGAGGCTGCCGAGGGCTGGTTGACACAGAGGAGTGGGCACGTGGCCTGCACACAGCAGGGAGCCCAGGGGCTCTGCAGAGCTACTGCTGCTTTTGGGCAGGGCTGCCCGGGATGGCTCCGCGCCCTGTGCTGCTGCCTGGGCCCAGCCCTGTGCGGGTCCAGGCTCCTGCCGGCCGGGCAGCCCGTCACTGCTCTGTGCTTTCCAGGTCCTGGTGTACCTGGATGTGACAGAATGTGGTGAAAGCATCCTGCAGATCCTTTCGAGGCACCTGTGGAGTGAGTGCCCAGAGATGCGTTGCCAAGTGCTCAGAGGCCTCATGGTGCTCAGCCAGGATCCCGTGATGGTGAGAAGGGGGCAGGGGCTGAAGGCCTGCTGGAATCCTGGGGCTGGGGAACGCAGTCACTTGGGCTTGGCTGGGCTTAGGGAGCTGTGGCAGCTGCTCCCAGCTCTGCTGCCTCCCTGTTCAGCTGCCCAAGCCCTTTGGGACAGGCCTTTGGCCTCCGGGCCCCACGGCAGCACATGGGGCTGCCCCGCCGGAGCGGGATTGGTGGTGCAGCCGTTCATGGCTTCACAGCACAGCACTGTGTTCCTCACAGGCCAAAAGAATGGGCAGCCTGACTGAAAGCCTTGAGGAGCTCCTGTGGGATTCAGACAGAGAGCTGGTCAGGATGACTGCCACTGTCCTCGAATTTCTGTCCTCGGAGAAAGACATCTGACACCAGCCCTGCAGCTGGCTGAGGCGCTCCAGCCACTCTTTGACAACGTAAGGCTCTGTGCCCCCGCAGCCACGGGTGGGAAGGTCATCAACAGATCTCTCTTTGGCTGTTCAGCCCTCCGAGGTACAGAGCCTCTCAGTGAGCTGCGGAGCAGTTTCTGGCTTGCTGTCTGTCACCAGTTGTTCCCACACAGGGGATTGGGGAAAGAGGGGAAAAAGGGTCCCTGTGCTCAGCAACACTTGCCCAGGTGTGCAGCGAGAAGAGAAGGTGCCCTAAGTCCCCTTGGCCTTTGGTGGTTCTGCTGAAGCCTCAAAGTTTCCACGGAGCAGTTTGCTGAACGTGTTTTCCTATGTGAGAAGTAGATGGACCTTTTGGACTCTGCAAGACTGAAAGTGCATCACACTACGTACAGCAGAGGTTGAAAGTGCCGTGTACCATGGTGGTGTGTGCAGTTCTCAGGCTGCAAGGAAAAGTAAGTCCCACTTGATTGTGGTGCAAATACAAGTTTGCAAATGGAAGGGAAGGTCGGTGAAATTCTTCTGTTCTGGTACATTTTCTTTGGCAGCAGGGGAGGACGTATTCAACTTTGGATCTTCCCATTTGGATAAGCCCGGTACGTTTACGTCTTTTTCAAGGACACGCCGACGTTCCCACTGTCGCTGTTCAACAGCTCCACGAGGTGGCGGTGTGTACATAACAAACAACCCAAAATGCAGCTCCGAAGGTGAAAACGTCCTGTCACAATTCTTAAACGAAACGTGTCAGGACAGAAAAGGTGCCAGGACAAAAAGCTCTGGAGCTTGGCTTTTCCATTCCCACTGGAGCAACAGCAGTTCACACGATAGCACTGTATACTAGGAAAAGCAAATAAGTTCACCAAGACCAACCAACGTGTGGATTCAAAATTAATTTCCCTAACCAAGAGAGGAATTATGACCCCACGCCTCAAAAGAAATGTGATCCCCACCTCCGAAATAGAAAACATCAGCATCAAGTGCCAGTTGAATGTCTGGGTACCACCATCCAGGGAAAAGCACCCCCACTAGTGGTGGCACCAGATGCCCACCAGGGCCAGGCAGAGCAAGCCCAGGATTCCCAGGAGGGTGCAGAAGGGCAGGAAGGGCACATCTGGCATGGGCACACCACGGTGCTGTCACCTGGGGATGAGTGAGGTGTCTGCTCAGGCTCTGGCTGTGCCCAGACACCCCCTGGTTCTGGGGACTGTGAGGGGCTGAGAGACCTGTGGGGTCTGTGAGGTCTATGGGTGCTATGAGGGCAGTAAGGGCTATGGGATCTGAGGTCTGTGAGGGTTATGGAGGCTCTGAGGGGTATGGGCTCTGTGAGGGGTATGGGGTCAGCGAGGTCAGTGAGGGTTAAAGGGTCTATGAGAACAGTGAGGGCAATGGGGTCTGAAAGGGCTTTGGAGTCTGAGGGGGCCTGTGAGGGCTGTGGAGGCTCTGAGGGCTATGGGGGCTGTGAGGACTCCATAATTTTCACATGGTTAGGGAATATGTTCTTACAGCTTCTACCCTATAACTGATACTCCACAAACTTTCTTTTCAAGACTTCCTTGATAGTAGTTTTCTAATTGCAACAGATGTCAGAGCATTGTTTCCATGATAATTAAAGCTGAGTGGCCATTTGCTGTAAGTGAGGTTGTTGGGGTCTGTAGTGGGTTGACCCTGGCTGGATGCCAGGTACCCACCAAAGCCACTCTCTCACTCCCCTCTGCAACTGGACAGAGGAGAGAAAACATAATGAAGAGTTCATGAGTTGAGGTAAGGACTGTGAGAGATCACTCACTGATTACCATCACAAGCAAAACAGACTTGAAGTGAGGATATTCATTAAATCTATGACTAACAAAATCAGAGCAGGATAATGAGAAGTAAGATATATCCTGAAAACACCTGCCCCCCCAGCAGTGCAGGGAGATGGGGAATGGGGGTTACGATCAGTTCATCACAAGTTGTTTCTGCCACCCAGAGAGAGGAGTCCTTCCCCTGCTCTCCGTGGAGTCCCTCCCCTGGGCAACAATTCTTCATGAGCTGCTGGAATCTGGGTCACTTATTCCATGGAGTTCAGTCCTTTAGGCACAGTCTGCTCCCTCGTGGGTCTTCCCTCACAGAGTCACTGGCCACAGAAACCCAATACAGGGTCATTCAAAATGAGCTTTGGCCATGCCATAACATAATTTAACTGTCCTATTAATAGATGAAACCCACAGCAATCCCTCATGAGTCACATACAGAAATAGCAGTGCCATTGTACACCCCTTCCCTGCCCTGCTTGTTCTTCTTCACCGTGATGGGGATGATGTCATTGTAAAACTGCCAAGAAACTAAAGGGAAAAGGAATGCCATCCCAGCTGTGAGAGATCTCATGAGTGGGAGATGATTGCAGGAGGATGGGGGGAGAGCAGAGGCCGCCGTGAAATTCCTAAGGTCAGCAGCAACATGTTTGTTGGAGCTCCTGTTTTTGTTATGATCCTGTGAATAAGGGTCCTGTGACCTCCTGGCCTGTGGCTTGGAAATGGGCTGGAGGATGGGCTGCTGGTGGATGCTCCTGGTCTGACTCCACCTGGCTTTTGGAAACTCCCCTAGCTTGGCCAGGTGCTTGGGATGACCCTGTGTTGATGGGAGCCAAAACACCCATCAGTGTTCATGAAGTGAGGAGCAAAGCTGGAGCTGTTGCCATTGTAAATCAACCCACCACCCCAAGCATCATTGCAGCACCTTGTCTGGGCACATCTTCTCTCTGCAGCACTTAGGGCAGCTGTTTGGAAAGCTGGGTATTGTTATACATGGAGAAATTGTTGGGGTTTTGCCCCTTGGTTTGGAGGAGGAGGGACTTCTTTCTCAGGAAGAAAATGAGGACGGGAAAGTGAGAGTGTTGGCTGGTTTTGCTGGAGTGGCATTTGCTGTCTTCAGAAGCAACTGTATACTATCTTCATGCGTCGGTTTTGTTGAACTCCGATTATGGATTTCCTTCCAGTTATCAGCTAAAACATTGTAAAACGAATGGCTGGAGAAAGTCCAGGCCACATGTCCTATACATCAGTTCACAGTTGTCTCACAAACAATTACCAAGAACTGCAAAGATAGCAACTCATGTGACTATTATTTTTAAGAGAGTAGCCCTGCAGCTAGAAGGCAAGTTTCTCTTAAAGAAGATATCCCAGAAATCCATTATTTTATCGTCTGGCAATACTGAAAATCAGAAATGGAGCCTGAAATCCATCTATACCTGGTTTCCCAGGAGAGGCTTAGCTTATGGCATTTGCCTCTCCTGTTTTGCCACGAGGGTGCCCAGATCCCCAACTCAACTGGACTCAACACCCATCTGAGCCCCCAGCTATTAGGAAACACGTAACTTTGCCTCTACATCCCTGTTCCTGACTTCCACCCCATGCACATGTGGTCACTGCAGGTGCTGGCAGACTTAGGCACACATATAACATCGTCTGGCTCTACAAGATAGAATCATAAAGATCAAGTCCAAGCATTAAGCTAACACTGCCAGCTCCACCACTAAACTGTGCCCCCAGGTGCCACATCTACACCTTTTTTGAACACTTCCATGTGATAGTGTCTGCCTGAGTGGTTCTGGGTGTGGGTTTTCTCTTTTTCATGAGTTTGTAAGATTTGGGAGCCTTTATTCATGGCTGTATGATGGGGGAGGGAACTGTGGGCAGGCAGGTTTAATTGTCCTTCCCAATGCAGAGAATCGCTAGAATTCCTGGGAAATACACAGGATCCATCATTCTGAGAACCAGGCTTTAAAGGTTAAGCTTAAAAATAGAGATATAAATGTTTATTTTTGGCTTTTTTGTGGTCAGCTTCGATGTAGGGGTTTGGTACTCATAAATATTGTTGATTCCCCCATGTAGCTCTTTCGACTTCACTGTTCAGCAGTCAGCAGTGTGAATTGTGATGCACGGCTGGGGCTGATACCAGAGATGACGCCATCAAAGGTGGGGATGGGAGTAACTGGAATACTCTAAACCGGATTTACACCTGCAGGATAACAGCAGTAATGGTAGAATAATGGGTTCAGGAGACAAATTGAAAACAAAAGTAATTTGTATGTTGGAAACTTCAGACTAGTTCAGGTGTAAAGGCAGTTTTATGGGATGTGCTTGTAAGCAAACACAGAGAAGAGAAAGTACAGAACCTTCAGGAGGAGCAGCACAGTATCCTGCCCAGCCATCCTCATTGTGGCTTTTTGTGATGTTGCATTGCTCTCTTCACTAACCTTTGCAGCTCACAGACTCCATGTATGAGCACCAAATATCTTACTTTTTGTAGAGAGGTTGGTGATTTTCCAGCAAAATGCTATTAACACAAATATTTTGCATTCTTGCTTCCATCTGGCTTTTATCAGTGGTGGGATTATTTTCTCTTAATCCACTCTGCTGCTTTTTAAAAATATAGCATTTTCAAAAGAACGAGTAAGTATTAGATACCTAAAAGAACACCTTTGTTTTGCATTCCTGAAATACTTATTCAAAATAAATGAATATAGATGAATAAATGAAAATGTGTCTAATCTGGCATTCAGGAATTATCTGTTTAGCTAATATTTAAATTATTCTTGGTACAAAACATGTGCATGTCACTATTTTCAGTCACACTATACATAGGCTGAGTGATTCTAAGTCACCTACAGAGACCAGTTCTGTCTATCTGGACAGTGGGAAAATACCAGTATAGGTTTGAACTATACCTGACACCTGCTGTTGGCCATGGTTGGTGACAGGATAACTGGTCCATCATTGTGTTTTTGAAGTAAGATTAAAAATAAGTTTTGTTTCTTCATTCTTGTTTTTGTTTGTTTGTTTGTTTGTTTTTAATGAACTAAACACATATACTCTTATTCTTTTTGAACAACATTCCCAGTGTTCATAAGGGAAATAATATTTTTAAACTGAAATTTTTCCTTCTAACTAGAAGCTGGTTTTCTATCCTTTGAAGCTGCCATGAGGTAGTTGAGAGATGCTGAATGTGCTGATGGAACATATCTCTCTGACTCCACAGCAGTTTAAGTTTTCTCTTTTATTTGGTCATCATTTCATGCAAACTTAATTAGCAGTGCTCTAAAAAAAGAATACTGAAAACCAGTTATTTGATCTTAATATCTAAAAAAACTGTACCATCTTGGCTCATGTCTGCTTGTGCCTTTGGCTGATGGGACCATAAGGGTGTAGCTTTGTCCTGCCAGGACTCGGGGCGGTGGCAGGTCTCCTTGGGCGGGGACTTGCCGGAGCTGCTGATTTTGGTGCAGCCCCGGCCAATGGGGTCAGAGCAGCATTGGTGTCCTTGCCCACAGGTTCCTTCTGTGTGTCACAGCCCCGTGTTCAAGAGGGTCACCAGCCAGGACTTCTCCCAAGGAGCCCGTGCCAGCTTCTGTGGAGGCCCCGTGGCCTTCCCACTGTGGCTGCGTCGGCAGCTGAGGGGGCTCCTTGTGCTGCTGTGGGCAGGCACAGCAGGGGAGGGTTTGCTTAGTTTTTCGTCTGTGCCTAAAGTTCATGTCCAGCTGTCTTAGATACTTTGGAAAACAGATTCCTTCCGAATCTGGGGGCAGGTTGGCCAGGCTGGGGGAGCCCCCAGGGCACGTGGCAGTGTGTCACAGGGCCCTTTGTGACACGGTGGGCATTGCCAATGGATGGCACGGGGCAGGGTGTCACAGGGCCCTTTGTGACACGTGATGACTTAATACCGGTGGTGAGGTGGCCACGCCTCAGTGCTCCTCGGAGCGTGCGACGGGACAGACAGGACAGAGCGGTGCTGTGCGGAGCCCCCGTGCAGCCAACTCGTTCCTTACTGATCCGGAGCTTTTTGGAGTCTTCTCTGTGGTTCAAGCGCCCTCGAGGCCAGACCGCGGGACTTGGTGACCCGGAGCTTTTCTGCGGTGTCTCCAATCCCTGCGGCAGGTGCCATCGAGGCCATTCTCTGGGGCTTCGTGCCCCAGAGCTTTTCCCTGGCGTCTCCAATCCCTGCAGCAGGTGCCCTTGAGGCCCAACTGTAGGATGGCAGGGAGACGCTTCAGCCTGTGCAGGGTTCTCAGGAGGAAGAAGAAGACCGGAGACCCTGGGACTGCCCCTGCACAGCAGCCTGAAGAGATGCAGCAGGTCCAACCCCTGCAGGACGGTGAGTGGCAGAGCTGGGCCACAGGACTGGTGGCTGCAGCTGGCTGAGCCTCTTCCCATCCCATCCTCTGTGGACATGCCCAGGGAAAGGGAGCAGGGAATAGGGGCCGGGGCTGATCCCCCGGCAGCTCCACGCACTGGGCATCCTGGGGCTGGCCCTGCCTGTGGAGTGCAGGGCTGGGCTGTGTTCCCTGGCCCCTCCTGCAGCCCCTCAGCTCTGACCGCGCTCTCTCTTTGCCAGATCCAGGACAGGTCCAGACAGAAGAGCAGGACCGCGCCCATGGCCGATTCCACAGGACAGCACAGGTACCTACAGCCATTCCCCCCTGGGCTGGGCCTGCTGTCACTGCTCAGCTGAGCACTGCTGTTGAAGCCCTACATGGCACATTCCTTCCTTCCCTGCCCTTTGTTTTCCTGCAGGCCTTTCTGAAATTCTTGGGCATTCGGCGTAGAAAGACCGGGAGAACACCAACCGAGGTCATGGCACAGCCTGACCCCACGCCGAAGGAGCTCAAGGCAAAGCCTGATGTCGGCACCATGTCAACTGATGGCACAGCAACCTGTGACACCACGGTGACCGATGAGCTGATGAACACCGACAGCGAACCTGTTCAGCTCCTGGCCGATGCTCCAAGTCTGGACTTTGTTGAGGAGAGCATTGTCTCTGCTCAAGTAAGCAGCCTGTGGCCGGGGATTGTGTGGCCCTTCTGCTGGGCCCCCTCAGCCTTTGAGGCCAGCACAGTGTGGTGGGAAGGGAAGCACTTCTCGGGGGCTAAACTGGGCAAGTTGCTCCCTCTGGCAGCTCTCCAACTCCCTCATGTCCCCTCCTGGCCAGACTCTGGGACTTGATGACCTGGAGCCTTCCGGAACCTCCTCTGTTGCAGGAGCTTTCAAGGCACTTCTGCAGGCCTTGGTGACCCAGAGCTTTTCTGTGCCATGTCTCCTGCAGGTAGCCATGGAGCCAGACAGAGGCATGGAGCAGAGACCGCCCAGGGTGCCCAAGCTGGCCTGGCTGAAGGAGGGGGAGGAGGAAAGCCCTGGGCCTGCCCCAGCACAGCACCCTGAGGATGTGGAGCAGTTCCAGCCCCTGCAGGAGGGTGAGTGGCAGAGCTGGGCCACAGGACTGGTGGCTGCAGCCAGCTGAGCCTCTTCCCATCCCATCCTCTGTGGACACGCCCAGGGAAAGGAAGCAGGGAATAGGGGCCGGGTCTGATCCCCCGGCAGCTCCATGTACTGGGCATCCTGGAGCTGGCCCTGCCTGTGGAGTGCAGGGCTGGGCTGTGTTCTCTGGCCCCTCCTGCAGCCCCTCAGCTCTGACTGCGCTCTCTCTTTGCCAGATCCAGGCCAGGTCCGGAAAGAAGAGCAGGACCGCGCCCGTGGCCGATTCCACAGGGCGGCACAGGTAGCTACAGCCATTCCCCCCTGGACTGGGCCTGCTGTCACTGCTCAGCCACGCACTGCTGTTGGAGCTCTCCATGGCACATTCCTCCCTTCCCTGCCCTTTGTTTTCCTGCAGGCCTTTCTGAAATTCTTGGGCATTCGGCGTACAAAGACCGGGAGAACACCAACCGAGGTCATGGCACAGCCTGACCCCACGCCGAAGGAGCTCAAGGCAAAGCCTGATGTCGGCACCGTGTCAACTGATGGCACAGCAACCTGTGACACCGCGGTGACCGATGAGCTGATGAACACCGACAGCACACCTGTTCAGCACCTGGCCGATGCTCCGAGTCTGGACTTTGTTGAGGAGAGCGTTGCCTCTGCTCAAGTAAGCAGCCTGTGGCCGGGGATTGTGTGGCTCTTCTGCTGGGCCTCCTCTGCCTTTGAGGCCAGCACAGTGTGGTGGGAAGGGAAGCACTTCTCGGGGCTAAACTGGGCAAGTTGCTCCCTCTGGCAGCTCTCCAACTCCCTCATGTCCCCTCCTGGCCAGACTCTGGGACTTGATGACCTGGAGCCTTCTGGAACCTCCTCTGTTGCAGGAGCTTTCAAGGCACTTCTGCAGGCCTTGGTGACCCAGAGGTTTTCTGTGCCATGTCTCCTGCAGGTAGCCGTGGAGCCAGACAGAGGCATGGAGCAGAGACCGCCCAGGGTGCCCAAGCTGGCCTGGCTGAAGGAGGGGGAGGAGGAAAGCCCTGGGCCTGCCCCAGCCCAGCACCCTGAGGATGTTGAGCAGTTCCAGCCCCTGCAGGAGGGTGAGTGGCAGAGCTGGGCCACAGGACTGGTGGCTGCAGCCACCTGAGCCTCTTCCCATCCCATCCTCTGTGGACATGCCCAGAGAAAGGGAGCAGGGAATAGGGGCCGGGGCTGATCCCCTGGCAGCTCCACGCTCTGGGCATCCTGGGTCTGGCCCTGCCTGTGGAGTGCAGGGCTGGGCTGTGTTCTCTGTCCCCTCCTGCAGCCCCTCAACTCTGACTGCGCTCTCTCTTTGCCAGAACCAGGCCGAGTCCAGACAGAAGAGCAGGACCGCGCCCATGGCCGGTTCCACAGGGCGGCACAGGTACCTACAGCCATTCCCCCCCTGGCTGGGCCTGCTGTCACTGCTCAGCCGAGCACTGCTGTTGGAGCTCTCCATGGCACATTCCTCCCTTCCCTGCCCTTTGTTTTCCTGCAGGCCTTTCTGAAATTATTGGGCATTCGGCGTAGAAAGACCAGGAGAACACCAACCGAGGTCATGGCACAGCCTGACCCCACGCCGAAGGAGCTCAAGGCAAAGCCTGATGTCGGCACCGTGTCAACTGATGGCACAGCAACCTGTGACACCGCGGTGACCGATGAGCTGATGAACACCGACAGCACACCTGTTCAGCACCTGGCCGATGCTCCAAGTCTGGACTTTGTTGAGGAGAGCGTTGTCTCTGCTCAAGTAAGCAGCCTGTGGCCGGGGATTGTGTGGCCCGTCTGCTGGGCCCCCTCAAGCCTTTGAGGCCAGCACAGTGTGGTGGGAAGGGAAGCACTTCTCGGGGAGGTAAACTGGGCAAGTTGCTCCCTCTGGCAGCTCTCCAACTCCCTCATGTCCCCTCCTGGCCAGACTCTGGGACTTGATGACCTGGAGCCTTCCGGAACCTCCTCTGTTGCAGGAGCTTTCAAGGCACTTCTGCAGGCCTTGGTGACCCAGAGCTTTTCTGTGCCATGTCTCCTGCAGGTAGCCATGGAGCCAGGCAGAGGCATGGAGCAGAGACCGCCCAGGGTGCCCAAGCTGGCCTGGCTGAAGGAGGGGGTGGAGGAAAGCTCTAGGCCTGCCCCAGCCCAGCACCCTGAGGATGTGGAGCAGTTCCAGCCCCTGCAGGAGGGTGAGTGGCAGAGCTGGGCCACAGGACTGGTGGCTGCAGCCACCTGAGTCTCTTCCCATCCCATCCTCTGTGGACATGCCCAGAGAAAGGGAGCAGGGAATAGGGGCCGGGGCTGATCCCCCGGCAGCTCCACGCACTGGGCATCCTGGGTCTGGCCCTGCCTGTGGAGTGCAGGGCTGGGCTGTGTTCTCTGGCCCCTGTTGCAGCCCCTCAGCTCTGACCACGCTCTCTCTTTGCCAGATCCAAGCCAAGACTGAACAGAGAAGCAGGACCGTGCCCGGGGCCGCTTCCGCAGGGCAGCACAGGTACCTGAGGCCATTCCCCCCTGGGCTGGGCCTGCTGTCACTGCTCAGCCGAGCACTGCTGTCAGAGCTCTCCATGGCACATTCTCATGGCACTGCTCCTCCTGCCTTTCTCCTGCAGATGGTTTGTGAATTCACCCGGTGCATTTGGAGGGAAGAGACCATTGCCATGGGCGCTGGGGGCATGGCAAACTCTGACTTCCACAATGCTGAAACCAGTGCTGCCCTGTTGGATTTGCTCATGGAAAATGGTGTCTCCAATCCCAAGAATGTAAGCAGCCTGTGGCCAGGGCTCAAGCCCCCCAGGGGTTGTACAGCCCCTCACGCAGGATCCGCTGGGCCCCCTCAGCCTTTGAGGCCAGCACAGTGTGGCGGGAAGGGAAGCACTTTTTGGGAGAAGCTGGGCAAGTTGGCAGCTCTCCAAATGTCCCCCGTGCCCCCTGCAGGTGCCAGCCTTCGTGAGGTACATCCACCCGTGGCTCACGTCCAGTGTGTCTCCTGAGCACAGACTAGACAAGACTCTTCTGGATCTGGCCGAGGCACACCCCGTGGATGTGGTGGTGACTGGGCTGAAAACCTGGGTTAGGGGCAGATTCAGGGGCACCAGGCCAGGTGCTCCTCCTGTGTCTCCCCTGGCCTCTCCCTCCCGCGCTCGGGCCTTGCCACGTGGATGTCTCAGCACTGAGCGCTGCCTCCAGCTGTTTTACTTTTTTGCAGGCAAACGTGGCGCTGTGGACGATCCTCCAGCTGCCCTCGTGCCCACGTACAGTGAGGGAGTGTTTCCCCAGCCTCTTTGTGCATCTGCTCTTCCAGGTGTTCTTCAACGCAGCGCATAGGCTGGAGGAGGACGACGCCTTCTGGAGGGAATGCCAGGACCAACACAGCCTTCCCACCAACCCCAACAGGTGCTCCACCCCAGTCCTCCTGTCCCTCCTAGGCCCTCGGGGCTGGGACCAGGGCTCAGCATGACCTGGGCTTTGCTCTGCACACAGGTTTGCAGTGCTGACCATCAAAGCCCTGCTGCGCCATCTGCGGTGTGAGGGTGTGGTGATGGCACTGGAACGCAAGTGTGGCTGGGACACGCTGCTCAGCGCTGACACCCACCACTACGCAATGGGTCTGCTGGCCAGGTGAGACCCCCTTGTTCCCACTGCCCCTGTCATTTCTGCCTGTGCATGGGGCACCACACACAGTGCCCGTGCTCGCGGGCGAGAGGGCCTTGTCACTGAGGGATGGCTGAGAGTGGAAAAGGCTGGGAGAGGCGGGTGCACAGGAGGAGCCACCTCCCAAAGTGCCCTTGTCCCCTCCCACGGTGCTGGAAAAGACCACGCCTCTGTGAGACAGTCCCAGAAGATGTTTGGTCACCCAGCTCAGGGATTACAGTGCCTTTTTCCCCCTGCCAGGGAGATAGTCTGTATCTGCACACCCTGGTGTTGCAGGATTGTATGCTGCCTCCTGGAGCTGCTCAGTGAAGAGATGTGTCCCTGGGAGCTCCCTGCCATGGCGTTCCTTGTGGAGGTGAGTCTGATGGCAAGCGCTGCCTCCCTGAGCTGTCTCCACGTCTCTGCAGGGAAAGCCCAGTGAACGGAGCTGGGGCAGAGGGGTTCTCCACTGTGTGCCCTTGGCCCATTGCTGCTGGGGTGACACTTGTCCCCAGCTGTATTTTGGGTCCCTCTGCTGCCAGCACTCGCGCTTCCCTCATGGCTCCTCAAGGCCAAGGAATCCAAGGCTGCCGAGGGCTGGTTGGCACAGAGGAGTGGGCACGTGGCCTGCGCAGGGCAGGGAGCCCAGGGGCTCTGCAGAGCTACTGCTGCTTTTGGGCAGGGCTGCCCGGGATGGCTCCGCGCCCTGTGCTGCTGCCTGGGCCCAGCCCTGTGCGGGTCCAGGCTCCTGCCGGCCGGGCAGCCCGTCACTGCTCTGTGCCTTCCAGGTCCTGGTGTACCTGGATGTGACAGAATGTGGTGAAAGCATCCTGCAGATCCTTTTGAGGCACCTGTGGAGTGAGTGCCCAGAGATGCGTTGCCAAGTGCTCAGAGGCCTCGTGGTGCTCAGCCAGGATCCCGTGATGGTGAGAAGGGGGCAGGGGCTGAAGTCCTGCTGGAATCCTGGGGCTGGGGAATGTGGTCGCTTGGGCTTGGCTGGGCTTAGGGAGCTGTGGCAGCTGCTCCCAGCTCTGCTGCCTCCCCGTTCAGCTGCCCAAGCCCTTTGGGACAGGCCTTTGGCCTCCGGGCCCCACGGCAGCACGTGGGGCTGCCCCGCCGGAGCGGGATTGGTGGTGCAGCCGTTCATGGCTTCACAGCACAGCACTGTGTTCCTCACAGGCCAAAAGAATGGGCAGCCTGACTGAAAGCCTTGAGGAGCTCCTGTGGGATTCAGACAGAGAGCTGGTCAGGATGACTGCCACTGTCCTCGAATTTCTGTCCTCGGAGAAAGACATCTGACACCAGCCCTGCAGCTGGCTGAGGCGCTCCAGCCACTCTTTGACAACGTAAGGCTCTGTGCCCCCGCAGCCACGGGTGGGATGGCCCTGGCTGGAGGGGTTTCTCAGGTCACCACAGATCTAGGCTCTGACCTTGGCTCTGTTCCTCCCTGTTCCAGCCCTCCGAGGTATGAAGAATGACAGCAGCCCCGCTATCTCAAGCCTGGCGTTTCAAACCTGCTCTGCGGAGCAGTTTCTGGCTGTGCTGCCAGAGCTCTGTGGAGAGTTGATGTGGGAAGCTGTGTGTGCTGGGGCCACGTGAACCTGCGAGGAAGACCCCTTCTCTGCAAGCACTTTCCTTTATCCCAGCATGGGAATATAAAATTCCTTTTGTCACATACAGAGCCTCAGGAGTGTTTTTTGGTGCCCAGTTTCCACAGGGCACTGGGAAAGAGGGGAAAAAGGGTCCCTGTGCTCAGCAACACTTGCCCAGGTGTGCAGCGAGAAGAGAAGGTGCCCTAAGTCCCCTTGGCCTTTGGTGGTTCTGCTGAAGCCTCAAAGTTTCCACGGAGCAGTTTGCTGAACGTGTTTTCCTATGTGAGAAGTAGATGGACCTTTTGGACTCTGCAAGACTGAAAGTGCATCACGCTACCTACAGCAGAGGTTGAAAGTGCCGTGTACCATGGTGGTGTGTGCAGTTCTCAGGCTGCAAGGAAAAGTAAGTCCCACTTGATTGTGGTGCAAATACAAGTTTGCAAATGGAAGGGAAGGTCGGTGAAATTCTTCTGTTCTGGCACATTTTCTTTGGCAGCAGGGGAGGACGTTTTCAACTTTGGATCTTCCCGTTTGGATAAGCCCGGTACGTTTACGTCTTTTTCAAGGACACGCCGACGTTCCCACTGTCGCTGTTCAACAGCTCCACGAGGTGGCGGTGTGTACATAACAAACAACCCAAAATGCAGCTCCGAAGGTGAAAACGTCCTGTCACAATTCTCAAACGAAACGTGGCAGGACAGAAAAGGTGCCAGGACAAAAAGCTCTGGAGCTTGGCTTTTCCATTCCCACTGGAGCAACAGCAGTTCACACGATAGCACTGTATACTAGGAAAAGCAAATAAATTCACCAAGACCAACCAACGTGTGGATTCAAAATTAATTTCCCTAACCAAGAGAGGAATTATGACCCCACGCCTCAAAAGAAATGTGATCCCCACCTCCGAAATAGAAAACATCAGCATCAAGTGCCAGTTGAATGTCTGGGTACCACCATCCAGGGAAAAGCACCCCCACTAGTGGTGGCACCAGATGCCCACCAGGGCCAGGCAGAGCAAGCCCAGGATTCCCAGGAGGGTGCAGAAGGGCAGGAAGGGCACATCTGGCATGGGCACACCACGGTGCTGTCACCTGGGGATGAGTGAGGTGTCTGCTCAGGCTCTGGCTGTGCCCAGACACCCCCTGGTTCTGGGGACTGTGAGGGGCTGAGAGACCTGTGGGGGCTGTGAGGTCTGTGGGATCTGTGAGGTCTATGGGTGCTATGAGGGCAGTAAGGGCTATGGGATCTGAGGTCTGTGAGGGTTATGGAGGCTCTGAGGGGTATGGGGTCTGTGAGGGGTATGGGGTCAGCGAGGTCAGTGAGGGTTAAAGGGTCTATGAGAACAGTGAGGGCAATGGGGTCTGAAAGGGCTTTGGAGTCTGAGGGGGCCTGTGAGGGCTGTGGAGGCTCTGAGGGCTATGGGGGCTGTGAGGACTCCATAATTTCCACATGGTTAGGGAATATGTTCTTACAGCTTCTACCCTATAACTGATACTCCACAAACTTTCTTTTCAAGACTTCCTTGATAGTAGTTTTCTAATTGCAACAGATGTCAGAGCATTGTTTCCATGATAATTAAAGCTGAGTGGCCATTTGCTGTAAGTGAGGTTGTTGGGGTCTGTAGTGGGTTGACCCTGGCTGGATGCCAGGTACCCACCAAAGCCACTCTCTCACTCCCCTCTACAACTGGACAGAGGAGAGAAAACATAATGAAGAGTTCATGAGTTGAGATAAGGACTGTGAGAGATCACTCACTGATTACCATCACAAGCAAAACAGACTTGAAGTGAGGATATTCATTAAATCTATTACTAACAAAATCAGAGCAGGATAATGAGAAGTAAGATATATCCTGAAAACACCTGCCCCCCCAGCAGTGCAGGGAGATGGGGAATGGGGGTTACAATCAGTTCATCACAAGTTGTTTCTGCCACCCAGAGAGAGGAGTCCTTCCCCTGCTCTCCGTGGAGTCCCTCCCCTGGGCAACAATTCTTCATGAGCTGCTGGAATCTGGGTCACTTATTCCATGGAGTTCAGTCCTTTAGGCACAGTCTGCTCCCTCGTGGGTCTTCCCTCACAGAGTCACTGGCCACAGAAACCCAATACAGGGTCATTCAAAATGAGCTTTGGCCATGCCATAACATAATTTAACTGTCCTATTAATAGATGAAACCCACAGCAATCCCTCATGAGTCACATACAGAAATAGCAGTGCCATTGTACACCCCTTCCCTGCCCTGCTTGTTCTTCTTCACCGTGATGGGGATGATGTCATTGTAAAACTGCCAAGAAACTAAAGGGAAAACGAATGCCATCCTAGCTCTGACAGATCTCATGACTGGGAGATGATTGCAGGAGGATGGGGGGAGAGCAGAGGCCGCCGTGAAATTCCTAAGGTCAGCAGCAACATGTTTGTTGGAGCTCCTGTTTTTGTTATGATCCTGTGAATAAGGGTCCTGTGACCTCCTGGCCTGTGGCTTGGAAATGGGCTGGAGGATGGGCTGCTGGTGGATGCTCCTGGTCTGACTCCACCTGGCTTTTGGAAACTCCCCTAGCTTGGCCAGGTGCTTGGGATGACCCTGTGTTGATGGGAGCCAAAACACCCATCAGTGTTCATGAAGTGAGGAGCAAAGCTGGAGCTGTTGCCATTGTAAATCAACCCACCACCCCAAGCATCATTGCAGCACCTTGTCTGGGCACATCTTCTCTCTGCAGCACTTAGGGCAGCTGTTTGGAAAGCTGGGTATTGTTATACATGGAGAAATTGTTGGGGTTTTGCCCCTTGGTTTGGAGGAGGAGGGACTTCTTTCTCAGGAAGAAAATGAGGACGGGAAAGTGAGAGTGTTGGCTGGTTTTGCTGGAGTGGCATTTGCTGTCTTCAGAAGCAACTGTATACTATCTTCATGCGTCGGTTTTGTTGAACTCTGATTATGGATTTCCTTCCAGTTATCAGCTAAAACATTGTAAAACGAATGGCTGGAGAAAGTCCAGGCCACATGTCCTATACATCAGTTCACAGTTGTCTCACAAACGATTACCAAGAACTGCAAAGATAGCAACTCATGTGACTATTATTTTTAAGAGAGTAGCCCTGCAGCTAGAAGGCAAGTTTCTCTTAAAGAAGATATCCCAGAAATCCATTATTTTATCGTCTGGCAATACTGAAAATCAGAAATGGAGCCTGAAATCCATCTATACCTGGTTTCCCAGGAGAGGCTTAGCTTATGGCATTTGCCTCTCCTGTTTTGCCACGAGGGTGCCCAGATCCCCAACTCAACTGGACTCAACACCCATCTGAGCCCCCAGCTATTAGGAAACACGTAACTTTGCCTCTACATCCCTGTTCCTGACTTCCACCCCATGCTTGTGTGGTCACTGCAGGTGCTGGCAGACTTAGGCACACATATAACATCGTCTGGCTCTACAAGATAGAATCATAAAGATCAAGTCCAAGCATTAAGCTAACACTGCCAGCTCCACCACTAAACTGTGCCCCCAGGTGCCACATCTACACCTTTTTTGAACACTTCCATGTGATAGTGTCTGCCTGAGTGGTTCTGGGTGTGGGTTTTCTCTCTTTCATGAGTTTGCAAGATTTGGGAGCCTTTATTCATGGCTGTATGATGGGGGAGGGAACTGTGGGCAGGTAGGTTTAATTGTCCTTCCCAAAGCAGAGAATCGCTATAAGCGATGGGGATTGCTGGATCTGAACTGCTACAAAACCCAATAAACTCCTTTGAAAGAGGAAAAAGAAAAGAGGAGGAAAAAAAAAAGAAAAAAGAAATCTCTTTGCTGTTACACACACCAGTGAGCTGATGGAGGAGAGTTTCCCTAAAGAGACTCAGTTCCCAGGCCAATGGAATACTTGGAAATTATTCTGTGGACCTGCACCAGGGACATTTCCCACACAGTGGTTTTCTGGTAAACCAGCATTTTTTAGGGGGTCTTGGCACTGCTGAGCACTTGCATTTTTCATATTTCCATTGCATAGCAGGCCAGATCTTTTTGATTTTATGCAACTTCATCCTTTTGGAGAAGAAAATATCCAGATCCGAGCAGTGTTTGAGTTCCTGGCATGATTGTACTGACTAGCCCGGGAACAGGGTCTCATTGTGATGTTAATTAGTATCTATTGACCCGCTCCATGTTTGGATGCAGTGGGGCGCGCAAGGGCTCTCAAACATAAGCTTACATAAGGAGCAGCCCAAGCGGTGTCTGGCTCCTGCCAATAAACTAATTGCTTTTGTCGGGACTGTATCTCAGCTGGAAGAGGAGCTACAATCAATTTCTGGCTTCGCGTGTCCCTGATATCCAGGCTCAAACACTGCATCTGTAATCATCACTTTTTTTGCACAAAATTCATCCAAGTTCGGATTCAAAATGCTCTGTTCATAGAGTTTAATCTTTTGTTTCAAATGAGTTACCAGGGTGGATAATTAATTCCATGTACCCCTGGCAAGCAGAGTGGGTGGCAGCAGGGATCTTAGTCCCACCAGGCAGAATAGTTTTCCTCTTCGGTCTTGCCCCCTTGGTCCCTCTTTACATTACTGTCAGGGAGAAAAAAAATGTGAATTGCATCAATATTTGCTGTGATGAAGATGAGAAATGCGTTTATTTTAATATCCAGGGTCCTGCTTAGACACAGAGAGCAAGAGAACAGCCCTGGTAGTCAGATTATTGCAATATGTATCTCTTTGGCTATGTGACGTGTTTAGCACTTTTCTTAAAATCCTGTCAAACCGTCTTTTCTTGCTCGCGGTGAACGAGGGGAGCGCTGTGTCCTAATTAAGCTGTTTGCCACAAGCAAAGCTCAGCTTCCCAAATTGCTGTCAGAGCAACGCCAGAAGCCAGGCTCTGGTGTGGGGGAAAGGCAGATGCACTTAAGTTTTCCTTCCTAGACTGTTGGTGGAGAGAAAATTGGTGTGGTGAAATCAGACACAGAAGAGCGAGCTGGGGAGCAGAGGGTCGTGGTGGGGCGAGATTCCCCGTGATGGAGCCAGTCCCCCCGGGTGTGCAGGCACAGCTCCTCCCGGGAATGCTCAGCTCCCTCCCAAACCCCGTGGCCTGCCTTCCCCGGGGAGGCGTTCGTTTGAAGGCTTCATTTCACTCACACACCCTGCATAAAGCAGGCAGAGAGTAAACATCTCGTGTAGCCCCAGCCAGGCGGACGAGGTCTGAGCCGTCTGCAGCTCTGGGCAGGACCCTGGGGGAAGGCAGAGCTGCCCGCCCGGGTGGCGAGGAGTCCCCGCAGCCGATAGGCACCGTGCCAGCCCTGCTCGCCGGCCGTCTCTGCGGGCAGGTTCGCCCGGCAGAGCGGCTGCTGCGCTGCCAGGAGCCGGCTGGCCTGCCCGCAGCTCTGCCTCTGCCCCTTTATACGGGGCAGCCACGGAGGTGGGGCTGAGCTCTTCCCGCTCCGTCAGCATCCCAGGGTGCGGGACAGCGAGCGCTCAGGGGAGCGAGTAACGGGATCGGCTTCGAGATGGGGAGGAAGCTGGACCTCTCCAAGCTAACCGACGAAGAAGCCAAACATGTTTGGGAAGTCGTTCAACGGGACTTTGATCTGCGGAAAAAAGAGGAGGAACGGCTGGAGTGAGTATCGGCTCTCCGCTCCGTGCGGTTCCAGCACGCCGCAGCTGCAGGTCGTAGGGATAAAGCAGCGTGCGGGTTGCAGGGATAAAGCAACGTGCCGAGGCTGTGGGCGAGGAGGAACAGCCGGGACCTGACTGTGCAAGTCAAACACGGCTGATAGATTACGTTATCAGCGGCAAGGTGACGCGTTCGGGTGGCAAAGGTGCAAACTGGCACCGTGCCCTCGGCGGC